TAATTTTGTGTGCTCTGAATCAACTGGTCAAATTCTGAACAACTAATACATCAAGTGCTCTTAATCAACTCGTATATAGGCGACTTTTGCATTCAAGTATATTGGCAAGATCTAATGGAACTTTTTTCAGAATCAAGAGTACATCCTTTACTGGCTGCAACGCTGTGAGGCCTCAAGATCTTTGCTCACTGGAGAGTGATGCGTCTCTACTCGCGACCTTGGAAACGTTCATGCCAGGTGCAACGCTTATGCAGTCTTCCCAAGATCTCCCTTGCTCATCAGTGACTGAGTGACGAGTCTCTTCTGGTGTCAGTAGCGACCTTGTGACTTCTACCAAGCACAACGTGTGCTCTTCTTTCAGTAGATTCCTCTTGCTTATCCGTGAGTGACGCGCACAATTAACCTTGGGATCTTCTCTGTGTTGCATGACATAACGTTCATACCGATTGCCGAGGCCAATTTCTGACAATCCGCAAACCTGTTTCTAGTTGCATCATTGCATGGAACATTTTTTTTCAAGGCGGAACGCTTTTTTTAAGTGAACCTCTAATCTTAGATTTCCACTCTGCTGGTATCCATGATACTCCAGGTCTCATAGTGTGGCACAAGAGTCGTTGTAAAATTATCTCCAGGTCAATCTGGTCAATGAACATTCACATGCCAGTCGGTAGTCGATAGTTTTATCCAGTCGTCAGTTGATACGTTTCTTCAGTCATTCAAGACTTTTGGTGAGTTAACAATGAAAACACAAGTCATTAATAAAGAGACAAGCAGATAACTTTTAGTCTATGTACATTGGATTGTTAGTATGCAACAAACCTCACGTATAATGCATCAATGGTTCAATTTTTTCAAACCAGGGGTGCCTTCATATCTCCTGGAAGGCTGAACTCACCGCTTCTTCTCTTATCCATAAATATTATGCGTAATCAATAGCAAGCCTTCCCTAAAATACAGAGCGTACTGTAATACGGAAAAATGTTCCACACGCATACTTCTATAGAAGCATAAAACATTCCTGAATCATCACGGAATGAACTTCAACAAATAGAATTATCTAATTGCAAAAATTGTAAGAGTTTTGATCATGAATTGAAGTGACTTGCCATTTTTTCCAATCCTGCAGTGTATATGTTGACATCGTGGCATCATCTTGAGCGGAAAATTTTAAGAGTATCATTCAGATAGTGACTGGAAAATAGAATGTCTACATTATTTCACATATTCAATTTTATGATAGGGGTTGCTTCCCAAGGCGCCTGGATGAGCATTCTTTCAACTACACTCACAAATTTGATACAGTACTGTACAATGACTGAACTACCTGACATGCACTATTACTTAAAACTCCATAATCAAGCACAAGCAAGCCTCCGTGGATACTTATATCAAAATATCACAGTAAAGGCCAAAAAACACGAAAAGATCCGTTTGAAAATTCCATAATGTAACACAATCTGGAACAATGTTCAACAAGCCAACACAAACTTCTTAAAGTGATGAAGAAATACTAGACCAGATTAGGTTCATTTTATGTATGGACAAGTTTTGGGTAAATTTTTTGTCCTGTCCAAAACTTTGCTGCGTGTGTACTTATTCTTTGCTTGCATCCTGATGTCAGTGAATATTTGTACTGTGTTTAGCGACTCTATTTTGTACATCTCTCTCTAGATAAATTTGAGCTATATTCCGAATTGCCTCTGGACACGATGAAGTGTCTAGCATGACAAAATTCACAAGGGTTCTCATATCAAGAGTATCATTGGAAAGGTTATCTTTCCTTTGACTTGCCATGACTGCGAAGCACGATTCAGCGAGGGCCTTGCTGCCACCCATGTTAGCAGCCACATCAAGGAAAATGACCGGTCGGACAAAAGCGCGTGAGTGTTAGCGTGGGATACAGCGTGGGCCAGCCTGGCCCTGAACCTGCCCTACACCTGCTCTCCCTTTAGGTACGTTTCATTTCCTTAATTCGTAACCTATAATTATGAAATTAAATACATGGTTTCACATGCTTATTGTGCAGTCACAACAATTTTTGTTTTTTTTTACCTCATCTCAATTGCAAATAAAACGGTAAAGCAAGAACCCAGGGAGAACATCAAAAAATTTGTCAAAGTTGGTAGTTGACCTTGCTCTACCAAATAGTGATAAACTGTTTGTGTAGAAAGAATATTATGGCAAGTAAGGCGAGCCAATGGTTGGGTATACATGGAAGTGCAGCATAAGTGAGAGCGAATAAGTATGAAGTATTGAGGGAAGTGTGGAAGAGTGTGGCACTGTGGCAGTGCCTAGTATTATGTATGAATTGGATGTGATAGCATAAAGTCATGGTGAGCTAGATAAATGGGAATTGGTACAGAATAGAGTGGCGAGATTGGCACTTGGAATCCCCTGGTGGACTGTGGTAGAGGTCCTGATAAGAGACATGGGATGGAGTACCTTTAAGGAAAGAAGAATGAGATCAGTTCTGAGGTATAAAGTGAGACTGGAGCAAATTGACAATGAATGTTGGGCACAAAAGATGTATATGTGGAACATGAAGGTGAGCAACTGGGCATGTAGATGTCGGGCAGTGGTGCATAAGTGTGGTATGCATGAAGCATGGGTGTGCCGAAGGCCCGCTGGGTCAAAGATTTCTACCTGTGATTTTAAAAATCAGTTCAATCATCTGAGATACAATTGTTTTTTAAAATTTTAGGAAACTTCTGCCTGCTATTTTAAATTGGGTGGCTATGAAGAACATAATTTGCAAAATTTTAACCAGTCTCTAATGTAAACCAAATTTTCAAAATATTGCTGGTAAAATTAACAGTATTTCTCATTATTTATGAAAAAATAGGCTATGGCTGTAGGTGAAATTAACTGCAAGCAGGGGCATTTTTTTTATCTCATTCCCAAGTGGCTTTTGCCTAATTTTCTGGAATGGATTTGTGGTCACGTCACATGGGCAACTCACAGCAACTGTGAGAGTACATAAAGTTTTCTACATAGCTGTGCAGCCATGCATGTACATCAAGTGTGAAAAATATCTACCTTTTCAGCCACATATAGAGCTTTCCTGCCATTTTCAGAACTGAAAGATTCCATCTAGATGACTCACCTCCTATCTAATTGTTAATAGAAGTGCATGATTTGGCCACATGATTGCAAATTTTTCAAAAATTGGTCACTTTAGAGCTGCAAGATTTCATTTGTAAGTTGGAAAATTCCATTCCTGATGTACATTAATTAGTGCAACTAACAGTACATACTTTTAATAGTAATTACAACTTACATTTTTCTGATAATCACCTGTCTATTAATATTTATTTATATCATCTTAATTAGAAACTAATGGAATTTTAATACTTCCCAAATATGAAATTAGAATTTGAAATAAGATACAGAAGTGACCAATGCTAGAGTGCTAATCATAAAAAATGATGACTCTAAATCAAATCATAGCAATGTTGCCATTCTTAGTAAGCTTTCTTTCTACATGCAAGATCTAAATTTTTTCTCAATAAATATGACTGAGAGTAGTTAAGTCAAATTATATATAGGTACCTACCTATTAATGATTTAATGTGTTGGTTGAAGTTTGAAAATAACAATCCATTTTCAGCTGAAATGTTGCTATGTTCTGTCTGGGGGTTGGGGGTAATTGAGGAGCTACCCATGGGATAGATTGAAAATTTCCTACTTATGAATGAAATCTTGCAGTCCAATTGCGCAGTTTTATTGACAATTAGTTTGGAGATAATTCATCTAGTGGGAATCTCATAGCCAAGAAAGTGGCAGGAAAACTCTAATTGTGGCTCAAATGGTAAATTTATTCCATGTCAGCTCATAGATTTATGTATATTTTATAGGCTCAACCTGAAGATAGAGATTCAATGTCTAAATGTGTGAGGTAATTAAAATGCATTTTACATTACACGTATCTTGATAGTCCAGAGTGCGTACCTACCGGTCATGGAAAACCTGGAAAGTCATGGAATTTGATTTTTTTTAGGTGTGGAAAGTCATGGGATTTCATTTCTGGTGATGGAAAGTCATGGAATTTGCAAATAAATGAAGAAAAAATATAACTCAGTACTCACTGCAGTGAGTGACAGAGAGCGCATTTTCTTGCTAATGAAAACTTGAGGTCATGGACGGGCGGACAGACGGACATGGCGAGCAGAATAGTGCATTTTTTCCATAAATGAGAAAATGCGCTAAAAAGGAAGTGTTATTCTGTGCTGCATATGACCCATTAATGCTGAGTGGTTCCATTTGGAACCAGCGCCAAAAAATAGATTCATCATAGAATTGTAAGGTCAAATAAATATAGAAGTGGATGCATAGGTTTGATACACATCTTGTACATGTTCTGGCAAAGTTTAGCTCTGCTGTGCTGACTACTATCTTTTTAGTCAACATTCAAAGATTATTAGAACCAGGTCATGGAAAAGTCATTGCATTTTTTCCTAAATACCGGTATGCACCCTGTAATACAGGGTGGTGTGATACCGGTAGTCATTACAGGGATCCATACAGGGATAAGACTTTTTACCATCAAGTTGATGCACTCCTACAGTGAAAACTACATTAATGTGGTTTAGCAAGCTACTGGAAGGACTCTTTAAAGTGCCCAGCTCTTTCATAGAAGTGGTGCTTCTGCCCAAATAGCTCATGTCATTGTGATGCATCCAGCCGTCAACTCAGTGTCCCTGTGGACTCGAAGTGAACTAGATCTGCTGGTAAACACATACGGATTTGTATTAACAAATTATTTACTGACAGTTAACTGAAACGTTCCCAACAAATAAGCAAGTAGATTTAAGTTAAGAAACATAAAGCCTGGCAGGAAAAGACTTGCCCAACACAAGTGTGTGAGCTGAAATAGCCAGATATATAAAGGGATCTGTTAGTAATCCAATTTAGTCAAAATTTTGAGGAGTGTTTACAAAAAGTATTTTATTTCTGCTATTCTAATATAAATATGTTAAATATTTTTAATTAGTATATTTTTTAACAGTTTTAGGAAAAATATTACTAAAGTTGTAATATTTATATTTGGAACTACAAGGTTTGTCAAAATAGTAGTCATTTGCTTGAATCTCTTTGTGCTAGTTACATAAAATGCAGAAGCCATACTTCCTTGAGCGAGAACTTCCGGGTCTAGTGAGAGAGGTGAGTTGTTTATATATATTACCTATATAGATATTCATGAACTATTTTGATGTTAGAGTATATTTAAATGAGCTAGGTAAATTTTTAATGACGATGTAAATGAAATTATGACATTTTCAAATTTTTGTGCTACCAAGCACTGAATTTTCAGAGTAGATATGGTATATATTTTTTACCTTGAACAATGAAAAAATTCAAACGTTACTTGACCCACCTAACACCCAGTAATTAAATATGAAAAGCATGAATTAAATTTTAAGGGGACATCAGATTCCCTGAATATAAATGTGTTATAATTTGGTTGGGTTTGTGACAAGTTTTGGTTGTATCTGATGGCATCTTTCTAAATGATATTATGATTTTCAGTATATGGAGACTCACGACACTGTGGACTTGGACGTTTTGACTCAACATCTCATCGACACTCACCATAAATTCAGGCACAAGAAATTCAAGCCATTCAGGAAAAGTGTTACATCAGGTGAGTGCTATCAGCAATGATTTATTGATTGCATTGCAGGAGCTTCATGAATGTACTGATTTGCAATTTAATTCTTATTTATTGTGTTCTAGTGTTCATTTAGGTGAAAACAATTGTGATGCATTTTAAATGTTTCTTCTAATGGTCTCTTACTATTTTACCCCTGGAATTATCCCATAGCATATGAGTGGAACTACAAGGTAATGGAGAAGGAGGAGAAAGAGGCTGCTGAAAATGGTGGTGTGAAAAAGACTTCTGGCAAAGATTCCTCAGATGATGTTGTGGTTAGTAATTCTCACATATATGAAGTTCTGGTACTGGTCATCTTTAACAGCTTGTATTTCATATGTGAAAACTTCTAATGAATGAAACTGCATGCAAATAATTTTGTTGTGTTTCAGTTAATGAAACTATGTTACTTTTGCCTTTGAAGGCCTTCATATATTTGCTTCTATCAGAAAACAAGAGAATATATTTCTTTATGTTTGAGTTGGTGCATTTTATTAAATCTGAGATTATGTTTTGATATTCATTGTAATATTGCAAAAAAATTCCATACTTTTTCATTTTAGTTAGGCATCTTTGAAGGTATATGATCTTTGTTCAACTCCTCAAATTCTTTAATTAATAATTTATTTATAATTTACTTTCAGACACTGGAAAATCTAGATGGGGAGAAATGTCCAAGTAGCAAGTACGTTGCCAACTAAAATTATATTATAGTTTCTTGGCCTCCAGAAGTCAACATTTTCTCTGCTTTGCACATTCATAAAAAATTTTAACATGATTCCAAAACATGCATGCTCACTGTAAAATTAAATTAAGTACTTTTGTATTTTACTTTTTCTGGAATAGCGTTCAAAAAGGCTGCATTCTGTTGGAAATTATTTGCTTTTGATGTATTCTATTGTATGCTGTACTCTTTTTATTTTTTGAATTTATTTAAGTGCAGTAAATTAAATCTCATACGTAAGCATTAATGAAGTCATCTGCATGTATCTATTAGAAAGGGGGATGAGCTGGAAGACGAAATTGTCAGCTCCATCATGAAGAAGAACCGCAAGGGAGTGCCTGAGCTGCCAGTATTTCCCACCGAGACACCTAAGCTTGAGGAGTTACAAGGCCTGTCATCTCTGGTGCAGGTATGTTGGCATACACAAAAACTATTTCAGTAATTTAGTTGTGTGACAGAAACAGAGTTACCTGTTCATTGAGATTGTTTAGAATTCAGTGTCATGCCTATAATTGTTATGATACAGGCTTCATATTTCTCATGTAGTTTGTTACTCGTGCATCTAGTGTTTACAAATAACATGCTTATGATTTCTTCTGTTTTGTCGTTCTATTTACTACGACCATGTCCTTTAAAAAAGACTATTTTTCAGACCATTCACTGACAGATGAATGGTATGGGTTTCAATATAAATTATTATATTTTACAGCCAGTGGGTCGCATATTATGGCTGATGATGGAGCGGCCAGAGCAGCGCGCCGTGTGTCTGCAAGTCACAGGACCGGAAAGCTGTGGCAAGACGTCCCTCATCAGGGCCATGGCCGATGTCAGTTGAGGCTTGCTTTCCCTTCTAATTACTTCTTATTCATCATTAATATATCTGCTTGCTGATTTTTTTATTGTTTTACCTAACATTCATCCTGAGTTCAATTTCATGAAGGTTTAATCTTATGTGTTTTGATACTTAGCAGCATGCATTTCAGCATTCTCCGCTGCATCATTTAACGAATTGGTAGTCCTATATGATTTTTAATATCTTTACGGAATTATCTCTGAATCAATAACAAAATTTGCTCTATCTGAGAATAGGTTTCTGTTTTTGGGAGGTTAAGTTATTATGTGAGAAAGATAAATTAAATTAACCTTATATTTGTGCCTTTTTTGCATAAGTAGCTGACCTCTTACGTACGCAACCAATCATTTATGTTTCTCCTTTCGAGTTACATTCCTCTTGTCTATTCTCTTTGTTGCTGAGATGTGAAAGACAGTTTTTGCTTACTATCCATTCAAGAAGTATTGACCCTTGTGATGTTGTGAATGATGGATAATTTTTGGATGTAAGAAATTTGTTATGATAATTTTTCTGTTTTTAAACAGGCAGTTTTGCTGATATAGTATACTCCCCCTTTGCTTCCATCTCCTCTTTTCTTAACTTTAAAATATGTTAGTGTACTGCTCAAATCCCTGCTGACTACCTATTTATATAGTGATTACAGCAAATTTTTTTTCGTTTATGGTATTGTGTTTTATCATATCATAAAGACCTGATCGGTAATGATGGTCCTTTGTTTTATGATGCCAGTTGTATACAAAGAGTGTTTATGTTTACAAAAAACACTCAACTGCTCATGATTCTTTTTAAGACTGTGTAAACCTAATCAATTATTTTGTGTTAATTTTGCAGAAAATGTCACTGCCACTGCACTTCATTGAGGTCGAGTCTGTGTTAGCGGGAGGACCTCTCTCGTCCCCCCTCAAGAAGATGCAAGAGGAGCTTGCAAAAGCTCACTCTGCTCTGCCAGGGGTTATTCTCTTCCATCAGGTTCAGTCTTTTTCTTTTATTCTGTTTATTCTGGTTTTATTCTTGATTCACACAGGAGTGTGCAAAAATGTAACAAAGGTGGTACATAACTATTAAATGATCATGATAAGGGAATAGTAAGTAGCTTAAATGAACACATCTCTACATAACGATTTTTGATCTTCTCCAATCATATTTTTAATTTTGGGCAAGAGTTAGATTAGATTTCACTCTTGATGAGGCTATGAGATGAGCGTTTTTTTTTCGAAATGTCATTAGCAAAAAAAATGTTAGTGTTGTAGTGTGGTATTATTCTACAGCTCTGATGACAAAAATGAAGGTTTTCAATGAAACCATTTGCTTGTGGGTTATTTGTTTTCTAAATCTTAACACTTACCTTGGTATTGTGTTTAAATATGATTAATGAAAGAAAAGCTTATTGTTTTTAAATCTGATTGATGAAAGATAAGTTTAATAATTTCAATTTCCTGTCTTTGTTCAGTCACTTCAGAGCACTGAAAATTTCATATTGTGTAATATCTTCATGCAAAAACGATACCCCCTAACTAAATACATGCAACGTATTATGGTACCCACCATGATAATGGTTATGCTTAGTTTTATTGCAATAGCTAATAAGTGTTAGTGATATTAATGTTCTTGTTCAGTTGGACCGCCTGTACTCCCGCGAGGTGTCGGCTGCCAGCAAGCCTGAGCAGCACAGTGTTGCGTCTGTTGTGTTTAAATACATAGCAGGTACGTAACTTTGTAGGCTATTGTAAGTTTATTATTTTTGAGTTCATAATTTTCTTTTGTATTGTGTGAATTTTGCTTTATGATTTACTATCGTTTTACGAAATTTTGTTATTCAGATCTAGATTTATCATAAGTTTAAATAATGCTTGATCATTTTATGAGTTATTTAAAACCACACCGGTGTTCCCCACTAGGCATGGCTGCTAACAGCGTTGGCTCGCGTGTGCTGATCGTGGCAGAGACTAGCAAACCTGAACTGCTGGACTGGCGTCTCAGCGAGTGTTTCTCTGAGCTTATTCACATCGCGCCTCCATCAGTGTCTGACAAGGAGAGCATCCTCCGGGTAACCTTTGTCATGTGGCATGAGATATTTTCCCTTCAAAATGGTATAGGTTTCACCACGCTTATGTAGTATATCTTAACCCTCATCAGACTGCATAATTTTGCAATGTTTTAATCGTTCCTAGTGTAGGTATATATATTCATTTGTACCTACGCTGTACGACAAGTGTTGAGGTTACTGTGAATTTTTTGATTTGCGTATTGGAATTGATTTATGTAAATGATGATTTATTTTGTGCTAATAATTTGTCATATGTGCACAGAAACTTTGCAGTAGTGAGGCTGAACCAGAAGTTGACCTGGCGAGCGTGGCTCTGAAAGCTTCTGGTTTCGTTGCTGGAGACCTCGTCTGTCTTGTGAAACATGCGCGTAAACTAGCGAGCAACAGGTAATGTGTCTGAAGTAGTTTTATAATAATTGGTAATATGATAAGAATGGGCAATATGTCTGAAATTGGTGCTATATCAGCAGCCTGCATTATTTTTGCAATTGGTAATATGTCAGCAGCAGGCAAGATGTTCGTAGTAGGTAATATGTATGCTACGTGTTGAATTTCCTTATACATGGCAACTGTCAGTCATGGTTAAACCTACTTCTCGCCAGTAATGAGGTTTAAACAAACAAATTTACTTGCTATTACTATCCTTTTGAACCGCTATTAATTGATCTTTTTGTGACTAATTGATATATGTAATATTCCATGTGAAATATCTTTATATTTTTGCATATTAATTTTGAAAAAAATTAATATTGGCTGTATACCTTGAACTGTTGGAAATGTGTAGAAATTATTTTGCAGAGTATTTAAAGAGTCGTCATATGGCCAAGCCAAGAGTTTCAGTGACTTCCCTTCTGGTCCTCAATCTAATGATGACGGCAGCGATCCAGCCAAACTTCTGATTACGACGGACGATCTTTTGAACTCTGTCAAGGTAATAAAGCCATTATTCAGCTACCATGTGAGCTCTTTAAAAATTGAGGCACTTCAAAAGTTTTCGTACTTATGATTTTGAGGAGTTAGCACATTATTTTGCTCTATCACTTTTATTTTTGCCAATAGACAGTATTTTTTTCCTGCTGTTTGTAATATCTATTTTGCTGGTCGATATTTTATGACAGATTACTTGTATCAAAAATTTCATATTACATGGTGTGAAAATTGTTATACTATTTGATCATAGGGAATATGAAAAGTCTAGGAGTTGAGGCGATTAAATTTATGTTCTCACAGTTGGTGGTGCCTAGCCTGAAGCGTCACGGGTTCCCCGCGATCCCTGACACGACGTGGGCAGATATCGGTGGTCTGGAGGTGGCTAAGAAGGGACTCAGGGACTGCATCCTGAAGCCCATTAAGCGCCCCGAGTACAGCTCACGCTTCGGGCTCAGGCAGAACTCGGGTGCGATATCTGTGTGTGTACAGCGGTTGTGGCTGTTTGGGATGCTTGCGTAGTTAAAGATGAGCGACTAGGATCCTTTAAATACTTCAGATTCTTGCTTGGTTTTCAATACTCTCGTTCTATTGTGAAGTGCTTACTCCCCGTGGTTATTGCTCACAAGTTCTGATCTCTGGTGACTGGTGAGATTTTCATATAAATTTCTTCCTTTTTAACTACCTTGATATTTATTTATTTTGCGTTTCTTGAGAGGAATTTATATGTTGTGCTTAAATACTTTCATAAGGGACCAGTCATTGTACGTTAAGCAGCATGGCTGCCAATGAGTATTTTTTATTAGTATCACAAGGTAACCGTGAATTATGATCAACGTAGGTGTTCTCTTGTGGGGACCCCCTGGATGCGGTAAGACGCTGCTCGCTAAGGCTGTTGCCAACGAGGCAGGCATCAACCTCCTGACGGTGAACGGTCCCGAGCTGCTCTCCATGTACCAGGGCGAGAGCGAGCGTGCCGTTCGTGAAGTCTTTGCCCGCGCGGCTTCCGTGGCACCGTGCGTTATATTCTTCGACGAGTTCGACTCCCTCTGCCCCAGGCGCTCCAAGACAGGCTCTGAAGTAGGTGTTTAATCCATGAGTTTCACGTTATTGTTTTATGCCGTTTCTTTACATGAACAACATGACCTTTTCAGGCTATTTATAATAATAACACATTCAAGATGTTTAAATGATCTCGTTGTTGCAGTCTGGCAGCAAGTCGACTATCGTCAACATGCTGCTCACGGAGATGGACGGGTTCATGGCGCGTCCCGGAATTTATCTCATCGCCGCCACAAACTTACCTTCTATCCTGGACCCTGCTGTCCTCAGGCCTGGTCGCTTCGACACTAAAGTTTACGTCGGCCTCCCAAATGCTGAGGGCAGAGTTTCTGTGCTCAAAGCCACCACCAAAGTTCGTAAATGGTTAACGTTAAAAATAGGCTAAATATAATTTTCTGGAATACTCGATTGTTTCGATTAGTGAATGCCTTTGAATCGTCCTATGCAAATTGTTTCTCATTTTAGGGGAAAAGTTACAACTAGATTGAGTTTTTGCCACAGGTCATTTGGATATACGAGGTAACTTGAAACGTCAATGATTCCAGTTTATCATTCATTCTCTATTATTACAACACTTAACTTTAACTTCACTTCTTGTTTGTTTGTTTGTCTGTCTGCTACAAATCTTATAATCGATATTTAACACACTTCTACCTCTCCAATCGATCTGAAAATTTGCACACTTGTGTAAAGCTGGAGACAATGCATGTATTAATTGACAGAATCAATAATTTGAAAATTAAAAAAAAATTTTGATATTAAAAAAATGAAAAAAATATTTTATCTGCTACATTACTTATTATCGATATTTAACGCACTTCTACCTGTCCAATCGATCTGAAATTTTGCACACTTGCGTAAAGTTGGAGACAATGCATGTATCAATTGACAGAATAAAAATTTTTGAAAAATTTCAATTTTTTATACTTTTAAAAATAGAATTAAAAAAATTAATTTTTATCATTTAATAATAAAATTAGAAATTCATTGTACATGTGTAACACAGGAGACACTGGATTCTTTAGAAGTGTTGTATTTAAAAAGTAATTTTTAAACGCATATTATTATTTTAGATGTCTTTTCGATTAAAATATTTTTTCTTGAAGTCGCCCTCTTTCTCTAATGTTGATAAAGTAACCGCCTCAAAATTTTAAGTCACAGAACGCTAGTTGCGGAAAGATCTCTGAACTGTTATTTGTAAATTGACTGACTACAAGTTTTTTATTAGAATGGCTCTCTACCGTGCCTTGCATCTGACGTGGACGTGGAAGCTATTGCTCAGCGCCAAGAATGCCAGAACTTTACTGGTGCCGATTGCAGGAACCTCGTCGATCTTGCAATCAAAGCGGCGATCGATGAGCACGAGAAAAACATCTCTACTACTGAAAACGATACTGTTGAGTCTGTCTCCAAGAAAAGAAAGCTAGATAACGGTTCAACGAGTGACAACCGGCCTACTAAAATCATGGCCGCGGCTGCCGACATTGGCGTGCCGTCAATGAAGTGCTTTTATCCCGACGGGGAGTTCGTGCTCTATGCACGACATTTTGATATGGCCTTCAAGGAGGTCAAACCATCAGTACTCGAGAAGGTATGTACCGAAATATTTACTATATTTCAATGATTTTGGTGCTCTTCGTTCAAATTTCATATCCATGCAGCTTCTTGCTGAAGGTTGTTGTTATAACTACTTAAATAATCGCGTTTGAAATGTGCCTGCCGATGCTACGTGATGCTCGTTTTTAAATATGCATTTTTTATCGAGCAGATCATCATGGGTGCAATCAGGATAGATTTTTTCACGATTCTATTTCTGTGCATGATAGATTTGACGTATTTCCGTTTTTTTTCAGGAGCGTCTTATGTACGAGTTTCAACGGAAGGAGTTCGAATCTGGTCCTGAGTGATGCACCGACTTGCGATGTCCGAAGTTGAAATATTAACGTTTCGCATTGAATAAAAAATCTAATTGCCAAATTATCTTTTATTCCTTGTTGGAAGTAATTTTAGTTCACGGAGAACAAAATTAAGTTTAGTCCGTTCTACATTCTGACAACGTACTAGGCTAGCCCAGATGCATCGCTTCATATACCGCTCGAATGTGTTCGAAGTAACAAGTGCTTATTACGATGGTGCCATTTTTAAATGAAGCCTATTGTTTTTGGAACTTAGAACAAGATAGTTTATTGAGTGAGCATTCGTTGACTTTAATTGCATTGACAACCTAAGTTTGCTCTTGGTTAGTGGTTTGATTGAGCGTCTCAGATGTGGGAAAATAGTCTTATCTGATGCATTTTATCTACATTGTTCTTCTGAGATAAATTTTGCTCGGGAAGGCCATTAGACATGTCGAATGTTCCCACGATTACGTATGTTTAATCTTCGTGGCATTTTCTTCTATAAAATTTATATTGTTGAATGATGATGAATTGCTTGTTATTATGTTTAAACATTTAAAAATGTTTGTCTACAAATGTGAGGTCAACAACAGTGTCTTGGACAACATGAATTCATTGAGGTACCGAAAGATGCATTGTACAACCTGGCTATGTCGTCCGTATGATCTTTTTTCTCTTCCACGTGATATCTGCCAAGGCTAGTAAGAATCGTCAGAACGCTGCTGACATCGACGTCACTCACAGTCTGCTGCGTGGGCAATGCATTAGCTGATTAGGCCTCCACTAAGGATGAATTTATTCGTTCTGTAAGTAACAACGAAAGAAATCTGATAAATGAGTTGATCGGTCAATTATGCAGGAGACAATTATACTAGCGACAGGCCAATTTGGCCTTTCTTCAACGTCGATGTTACTGTGCTTAAAACGTTCGAATGATTAAAGATATAACTTTATCATGATATTTGACGGTTGAGTTTGGACTCCGTTCTCATAGGAGTTTAAGGCCTTTCTGATGTTTTTTTTTTGGAAATTCGACGAGTAAGATCGAAATTTTAATTTGAGATTTTGGTTATCACGTTTGATCTTAATTTATTTGGAAGCTTTAAAGTTTTAATTTAATTAGGTTTTATATCTCACTCATCATGCGCCAGCATACGTGATACAGGTAATTTTATGCCACAAGCTATACTTTCTAAAAACGTTTGCATTACGATTAGCTAAGAAATAAATTTTCGTTACATTGTTTGTGGAATTGTTAAATGTTGGCTTACAGGTTGTTAAGCGCGTTTGCGCTACTGGCCGCACCGTGTCGCTCCTATCTAACAGTGCTACAGAGCGACGAAGGCTTCTCTGTGGCATATCAGGGACGCCTGGTGAGATTATTCCACACCTTAAAATTAAGTTTAATTCAATTTTAGGTTTCACGCAACATCATCGTTGGCATGTTATTTTATGACTTCACGTTGAATACAAACGCATTCGATTTTGTCTTGAAGTCGATGTTAATGAATATACCTTACATCACATTCTTGGGAACTTAATAGATCTTGGAGCACACGATCAGTGCTCCAGTTTTGACGGTGGGCTCTGGCAACACGAGTTTCGAACAAATCAGCGGCAACTTTGCCATCGAAGAAAACGTATCTACAGCCATCGGTCTCGGCAGCTTCGCGGTTGTGAATGAGAGTGACACGTTCGTACAGATCGTCCTAACTTCCAACACTGCGCCGGATCTACAGGTGATTATTTGTATCGAAAAATATTTTGAAACTTTAATCTGAATATTGTGTAAAAATATATGCTATCAAGACAATTTTTAACAGAACTTGTGCAATCCTTTAAATGAATATCGGATTTATATGTATTGACTTCAATATTTAAAATGAAGACGTCATCTGTTTTCACTATCATTCTAAGGCAACTATCAACTTGCTAGTGGCGTCAGGAGCATCAAACGGATCGGAGTTTGATACTGTGATTGTTCAAGCGGCAGCAATCCATCCGCTTCTAGAAAAGATCAACAGGCTATGGTTGAAAATCTATGCTGAAAAAAGCGAAAAAATTTTCGGAGGCGGAGAGCAGTACACATATTTTAACCTACGTGGTCGCGACTACCCAATCTGGACCAGAGAACAAGGCACGTCAGTATCCTTTACATAACACTCATTTACGAATAATTAAATGTTAGGTATCGATATAGTCTTGCAGGTGTTTTACAAAGTTTGTGTATTTGAAGCCTGCCACCACAAATATTTAGAGGCTATTCCAGCTAGTGTCTATAGTTTTTTTCGTGTTGGGATATTACCTGGGCCGGAAAATTGTTTCCCAATTGGAGAATATTTAGACACTGCATAACTCGGTAGAAAAGATAGGTTCAAAGATTGAAATTTGTTTTCTACATTATACATATACATTTGGTTTAAAAGACGCAAAGAAGTGTTGACATATTTTAGAATGAGAGCGGCGAGCAGTACACATATACGAATAGAACTGGGAGTTCTACTCGCATTTCAAAGGTTGCTTTGATCAGGGGCCGGATTATCAAAAAATCTTTAATTAGATAAGGATTTATTGTTAAACATGGGATTTGCGATGGCGGGAATCAGGATGACAAAAATGTAAAATTGTTTTAATGAACGATCTTGGGAAACGCCTACCTAGACTTAATTTGCAACTATAAATTTTGCACAGGTGTTGGACGAGGTGACGGTGTGGTTGCGAATGTAAGTAACTCAGTGGCAGACGCCGGAGGCTCTTACCACACTACTTACTGGCCTCAGTCCAGCTTCTTCTCATCAAGACTTTACACAGCATTGATCTGGAACAACAAGTCAGAGGCCGAGCAGTTCTTGAGTAGTGGGAACCTAGGATAGCTGCAACGATTTCTTTTTTTACTTCTATCATGATTTACTATTATACCATCCATGGATTGAATAAATAGTTATTTCATGAATAGAAGTATTATTTAGTTGTTATTATTATGGAAAATTATTATTTCACTTCATGAATTGAATTAATAAATTATTGATTAATATACCTATAAAGTATTACTTATTCAAATCATATTGTATAGGTATTTTTTTTATAATTTCATTGTTCGGTTATATGCCACTCATTACTCCATTTTAGCAGTTATATAGTACAAACCACTAAATTTTTGCTGTCATATGGTAGTCAACTCCTCATTTTGGCAGCCATGTGATACGGTCCACTCAATTTTGGCAGTTATGTGGTACTCAATTATGATGACACATGATGATTCCACCCCGTGAAATGGTCATTTTGGCAGTCTTGTGGTACCCTTCACTCAATTTCGGCTGTTAAATGGTACTCGACACCTCATTTTGGCAGTCTTTTGGTACCCTCCACACCACTCCATTTCGGCAGTTATATGGTGCTGAACTTTACGGCTACTGATTACCACGAAGTGTTCGTCCACTCGGCATCGCTCACCCTTGAGCTGGACTATGACAACACAGCTCTCGGTCTCGTACAGAAGGTGTACAAGAGGGCAGGGACTCAACCTCCTCTGCCTGACTGGGTACTTGGAGGAGCCATACTGGGACTTGAGGATGGTACTGAAGAGGTGAATTGCAGTAAAAGAAACTAAGATTCCGTTTATGACATATTTCCTTGCCACAGCCGGTAAGATGTGTTGAATGAAACATCAAATTCAACTCACCACAACTAAAATGTCTCAATTATGCTTTTAATTGCAAAAGCGGAACTCATTATAGAAGAAGGAAACCATGTATCTGTACATAAATAATTTGAAATGCTGACGACCAATGAGTCACGTTCTATGCAGGCGCTCTACTACTACAACTTAGCAAAGGAGGCCGGAGTGAACGTGAGCGCCCTCTGGCTGCAGGATTGGTCAGGGTACATCCAGACAGCTTTTGGCCACAGGGTCTACTGGAATTGGGCCTGGAATAGTACCTTCTATCCAGGTATGAGACATTTGCTTCTATTCCGAGCGATTTATTTGTTGGTTCTAATTTTACGTTGAATACTTGTGTTGCGATTGTGATTAGGATCATGAATCTTTCATCGCTATGAATGGTTCATCAACGGCTTCTGTTCAAAAGTCCACTGTCCAACCGACATACTAACTGGAGTATTAATTGCATACACACCTGGTTTCTAGCTGCTGACTACTTTCTACTCAATAAAGTGCTAAAACCTTTCAGACACATGATTATTCCACCCCGTGGAATTTGGGGCCAGATTCCAGAATCTGGGGAATCTGGGGCTAGAATCTCAGCGACTGGGAGGCCAGAGAGAACGCTCTGGTTATACGATCTTCCCTGTTTATAAAGCATGGTAAATGTTACCTCGGTGAATGAGCTTTCCTAAACTGATTATTTTAACATTTTATGTTTATTTAGATGCTATATTTGCCAGGCCTGGATGAGGTGGTACAGGAGTTGGCTACAGATGGCGTGCGTGTGACGGTCTACTGCAATCCACATCTAATTCAAGGCAGCCCCATGTTCGAGGAGGCCGCGGCTGCCGGTCACCTCATGCGTGACCGGGATGGCCAAATTTTCCTTTTGGACTTCGGAGGTTTCTACGGTGGCACCGTCGACGTTCACTACACCCCCTCTGCGAATTGGTATGCTGGTGAGTAAATTCTAATGAAAATTTAGTCCAAAATAGCTTAGTTTTCACGATCAAAACTGTCATATCAATAATAGACTTGTCGAAACGAGGAGACGGCACGAGTCTCCATTTTAACACCAGCATCCTCCGATACCTAGGATCGTTTTATTTATGACGGAATTCATTTCTTTTGGTAAGTCAATCAACATAATTTTTTTAATGAGAAGGAAATCTGATTTTGTTTGTGTGTTGTCAGCATCCAATGAAATTTTTTACTTATTTTGCCTGATTGCCTTCAGTTAGGCAGCTGTCCTAAATTTGTTTGTATCTAATCTACTTCTTTTGTTCTAGCACGTCTCAGTACCAACATTTTTGGCTTGGGGTTTCCTGGCTACATGGCCGACTTCGGCGAGTACACGGACATAAATATGGTCTCCAGGAACACGGAGCTAAACGCTGAGGAGACACACAACTATTTTCCCGTAGCCTGGGCAAAAGTTAACAGGTCCGTTCGAACAACTTTGGTCTTGTTCAAAATTTAAATGAATTGAGGGTTGCGTAAAGTTTATGCGTGGCCTCTCTCGGTGAGCGCTCTGTAATAAATTATTTTACTTAAATATTGTTTCGTCACGTACTTTGTGCATTCAAGTCACTGCTCTTGGAATTTGCGGTGAATGACAGAAGTACTTAATTTTAATGCCATTTATTATATATTATTAAGATTTTCTATAAACGGTTATAAGTGGTAAATGCCACGAGACGAATGTTCTATTCTGATTGGTACATAAATTATTATTTGATCAAGAATTTAACGAACATTCCATGCAATTTTAGATCCGACTCATAAACTGTCAGAAATATGTTATTCGTTAGACGCTAACGAGTATACAAACATAGTAGAATATCACCAAGATATTGAACCTAAAATATTTGTACATTTGTTTCATTTTAAATACCCGCTTCATTAACGTAGGCTAGCAGTACAGGCGGCTGGGCTGGAGGGCGAGGCAGTTTACTGGATGCGTTCAGGAGCTCTGGGCGCCGGCGCTGCTCAGACGCTTGCCTGGGCCGGGGACCAGGACGTTGACTTCTCTACCACCGACGGGGTCGCTACCACCATCGTGGCTGGTGAGTGAGGCTGTGGATCAAATAAGTGTTTAAATTAAAATAAATAGGTTGAATTAATTCGGCGATCAAAATCTATTCCTGATCAATGATTACTAATATATTTCCTGAGCTGATTCATATTGAATTGCCAGAATTGGTTCATTTCTTTGCTGGAATGGCATATTAAGATCGTGCTGCTGACACCTGGGAAATTTAGGACAAACTATTAATTGAAATATCCTAAATTTTCTAAATAATTGAAATATCACACCGCTAAATTATCACCGATGTATTTCTCATGGGGCAGCGCTGTCTCTGGGCCTCAGCGGCATGGGCTTCACTCATTTCGACATCGGGGGCTACACAACGCAACCTCCCATGGTGCGCACGCAGGAACTCTTCCTCAGATCTGCTGAGTACGCTGTTTTCACGCCGGTTATGAGAACTCATCTCGGTGAGTGTTCTTATTTGCACTCTTGGTGAGTACGTGTTCTCCTCATCTTTATTATAAATTATCCAATTTTATTATTATTTATATTTGTAATTTAAAAACGTTATAAATTATAACGTTTTTTAGAGACGCTGTCCTATGCTGTTTCCGTCATTATAGTATGCCGTCCTTATAGCTTTCGAGCAAGACCCGTGAATGGTCAGGAATTGTGAAGCACAAAATAATGATCATTGCTGATCATGGTTTATGAAATTGATTTCAGTAATGCCTCGAAAAATACGTCATAATTGTTGTAAACTATGTTTTCATGTATTATTTAGATTGTGGAATGATTACGTTTTCTTGTTTTAATCAGATGATGAAATGAATCGTTGAGTAAGCAGCTTACTAAACAAAATTTTGACGTTAGAACTAATATTTCACTGCAGGTAACAAGCCTGACGCCAACCACCAGTTCTACAGCAGCAACGACACCCTCACTCAATTCGCCAGACTCACACAGATTCACGCGCGTCTGAAGCCCTATACTGCAGCCTTCGTCAAGGAGACTAGCCTATTAGGTAGACGGGCGTATGGAAATGACGGGCATATGAAAATGACGGGCGTACGGAAATAATGATTGTATGGAAATGCCGGGCGTATGAATATGGCTGGCGTATAGAAATGACAGCCGAATGGAAATTACGATTGTATAGAAATGACGAGCGTATGGAAATTACGATTCTATGGAAATGACGGGCGTATGAATATGGCTGGCGTATGGGAATGACGATCGTGTACGGAAATGATGTTCGCATGGAAATGATAGTCGTAGGGAAATGATGGCCATATGCAAATGATGGTTTTACGTTCGCTGGGAGGCCGTATGAGAAAGTGATGAAACATTGACAAATTTTTAGAAATTATGAATAGATGATTTTTTATTAATTAGCTAAATATCTGCTCAATAGCTATTAAGTAGTCGTATTACGACTCTATATATGAGGGATCGAAAAAAGCTAAGGGACTCTGAGATTGAGCACTTAAACCCAGAAAACTAAGCAGGTTTCGGCTGATTGATCAGACTCTTGAAGCCCATGTTTGTTCTCATTTTAATATGTGATACGGGAAATATTTTTATTTGATTCTAGGATTTTAACTTATGTTGAAAGGTATCCCGCTGCAAAGACCACTGTTCTTGCACTACGAGTCAGAATCGCAAGCCTGGAACACGCAAGAGGAATATCTGTACGGACGGGACTTGCTCGTGGCTCCAGTCCTGCATAGAGGACAGGTTAGAAGTCCTTCGTAGTCCTTCCTTCCTTCTTGGCTTCCGTCCTTGCAGAAATTACTTGGTTAAGATGGGGCGCGTCACTTTCTTGAGTATAGGCGCCCGTTGAAGAAATTGAAACCATAAAGCTGAAGTTAAAGTACAGGTAAAGTTGCGCGACTTTAAGAAATACTATAAGAGTTTAGTTTGAGTACAGTTGAGCAAGCTAAAGTTAGAAACGAGTACATTCAAGTACATATACATAGAAGTACAATAAGGTTGATTTTAGGTACAGAAGTTTATCGGCCTATAAAGTACACTTTAAGTAGAGCGACCTAAAAAGTACCATTATAGTTTAGTTCATGTACGATTGATGTAGTTGTAGTTGAAAGGAGAAAAAGTACCGTTAAACTATACCGTTTTGCTATAGTTAAAGTTGATAGACATATAACATATATACGTAATAAGTTAAGATTGAGTTCAAGTAGAGTTGAGGAAGTTAAAGTTAAAATTCCCATAAATTATAGTTATATTTGAGTTTGAGCACAGTTAAAATTGACACTTGAAGTTGAACGACCTAAAATTTATTGAGTAATTGAGCTTGATATTTCGATGTTGCCGATTAATGTAATGTCTTGTTCGTTTGATTAATTTTTTTCGAATTTTGACGGTATACTGAATGACAGTAGGCTGCACTGTAGGCCGCACTGTAGGCTGCACTGTAGGCCGCACTGTAGGCTGCACTGTAGGCCACTGTAGGCACGCACTGTAGGCCGCACTGTAGGCCGCACTGTAGGCTGCACTGTAGGCCGCACTGTAGGCCGCACTGTAGGCCGCACTGTAGGCCGCACTGTAGGTCGACAGAGTGGAGATATACCTTGCTGGGATTATGAGCGAATTCTTCATGATTAAAATATGCGGAGAAAGATGAAAAATATTTAAAATTTAAGTACTGACAAAATTTCAAATACAAAAATTTGCTGGAAGAAGTCATCTGAGGTGTATATTCCACAAGAAGAACTATGCTTAACTAGTCTGGTATTTAGATATGAAAATCTTTTCCTAAAATATTATGGCTGTCCATATTTAATTGTCAATAATTTATGAATGCACAAAATGTTATTGCAGGACTCAGTGGACGTGTACCTGCCTAGGGATGAGTGGGTTCACCTGTTTGCCGTGACCGCAGCTATAGTCGGTCCCGCGTCTCTCACCATCGACGCTCCCATGGGCTACCCGCCTGTCTTCTACAGGCGTGACTCAGAATTCGCCGACCTTTTCCGTTCAATTACTGACGAGTTTGGACTGCCATGATTTTACATAATTACTAATGAATTTATATGTTCTAAATACGGGACCTTTAATCATTTCAAGCCGCCAACGAAAAGACGTTTAGATTTCGTAAATAACTGATCACTGTTTGGTTCCTCACAAAGTAATAACATATGCTGAAAGTAATCAAAATCAATGATAGGAAATGAACGATAATTTTGTAACAAATATCAAATCAAATTAAAGTTTATAAAGTGAAAATAAAAGGCTCTTATCACTTAAATGGAAATTTAATACACTGGAGAAAATAAATTTGTATCTTTATTATCCAAAATTATTTAATATATTTAAATTCAATTTTATAATGCCTGGAAGATTGCACGGTGTATTTAGGTGTGTAAGTGAAATATGTATTTCAGATTGATACCGATAAGTATTGCCTTCAGATAGTTCACAAATTAAAACGAAATGTGGTATGATTATAATTTTGTCTTACTGTGCTTAACCATTTTATCGAACAATTCTCAAATTCAGCAAAAAAAAAAACTTTTCATAGAAAACTTGCTTACCGCACGTGACGGCTGCTAAAGGTCTCACTTGCATGAGTCAATGAACTTCGCTTATTCAATCGCACTTAAAAGCTGCCTTATAAGGTGCTTCTCTCTCACTATCGATAGGCAGCCATCTCGGGATCAGCCGCTATCGTTTCGCTGGGTGTTACACCATCAGAGTATTGTGATCCGGTGAGTATTGTGAATGCTCATGCAAAAAAAGTAGTTTTAATTGAAGTAAGTTGCTCTACTTTAAAAATTCCTAATTATCTTTAATTCGGTTTCTCTTTATTATCTTTAATTCACTTCCTTATTTAATTTAACTTTGTATTGTCTTTAATGCAAGTTCTCTCATTATCTTTAATTCAGATCTTATATTTAATTTTCAAGAATTGACTTTTTTATATGCGTCCATCTTAAAAATAATTTGCGACTATTTTTTTTACTACAATGCCAGAAGAGAAATCAAGAGCGCAATGGCGCGAGTAGACCGGCTGCATGTGGCCTGTCTTCAGCATCGTCATTTTGAGCGTTCATGTGAATACCGCTGCACAGAAAATTAATACGCTAGGTGAGTTTTGAAATAAATGCGTTTTTGATAAATGATAAATTGATAATTAGTATAGGCCATCACAGACATAATTAGTATAGGCCATCATAAAACATCACAGACATTAATGATGGAATTTGTTCTAAGCAAGTGCATACATTAGAGTTCTCAGGATTAACGTTTGTCTGTGTCAAGGTCAGTTCAGACTCAACTTCTGCGGATTAATTGGACGACAAAATACGTTAAACATCGCACCAATCAGGCATCAAAAATCGTAGAAAAGGAAATATTGCTGCTGGTGCGATTTTCGCTATGTTTCCTTACGTCAATTTTAAGAGTAATTTTTCAGCCATTTTGCTTTTTCAGCCAAAGTAATATAATAATGTTCTTAAATTCGTCCGGTGGTTAGGATGTAAAAAATTAGTAAGAAATATCAATACAATCGGTTATAATCAATTCAAGTGTGTATTTGAATTTATCATTGAAAGGTTTGCTGGAAATATCATACCAATTAAGTGAAATATTATCATTTGTGTAGAGACTGAAAAGTGTTATAAATGCAAACTTAATTTTTTTCTTTCAGTTCCAGCGTTAATGAATTTTAGGCAGTTTTATCTCAGTAACGCAAGGCTATTTATTTTTCTTTATTATTCTAAGCTGTAGGTTTCGAAAAAGTAAAATACAGACTCAATTGCCGCATGTGAGATCTTATGAGATTTTAACAGTGAATTTTAAATCCAGTGAAAGGCTCTCATGCAGCCGCATTACTTAAAAAGTTCACTTTGCCGCCGGACAATGCACAAGCTTCATTCAGAATTAATTCTTAATTCATTCATAATTCTTCGTTGAAACACTGAGCATATAAAATATTATCTTATCGGTAGTCATGTGCAATATTTTATTGCTGTTATAACTAAATAGCAGATCGATCCAAATATTCCTTTTAATTTAGCTATTTAAAAAATAAGTAGCTAGATACTTGATAACTGTAAGAAATCTTTATTCAAGGTTATCTGAGAAGTGAAAATATCATTGCCATAAATTTCTTCGTGTGCATCGCCGCATTCATGATCACTAACCCATTTTTATGACCAAATCATGAAGGTCGGTTTATCATAGTAAAGTTTAATACAATATTTATTACTTCCCTCAATTACGATGAAACATTTTCTTCACAATAATGAATGGTTTTCTTTCATCAAGACTCTCGTCGTAAATTTGATATGCGCATACAAGATATTCTTGATCCATTCTCTTTGTATTTCTTGTGGCGTTGAGATAAATTGTGGCTTGAACGCCTCTTACATGCTGAGCAAATTACCGAGTTTATGAAGCTTCGATCGAACACACTACATTTGACTAACATTATTGCGATAAAATGTTATTAAAAGAGATAATCGTGACTAAGTATTTCAATGAGCGTAGATACGCACAAACCACTGATTTCCAATCGAATTTAAAAATTGCAGCACTCAAAATATGAAAAAAATAAACTTCATCTTCATCTAACTGCCTACCGCTGTCAATCTCAGTCCCAGGTTTTGGTATCGTAAAAGTTAAAATATCGAAGATCCTAAATGAATCTTCGTTTCTCAGAACAAGGACTTTGGAAACTGAGCAATTGAATCAGAGACCTGGAATTGAATGTTGCTTTATTCAAGGTTGAATCGTGCGTCACTTGTGCACAAAGTCGATTATTTGCTACTCGTGTGTCACCAAAATGAGCAACCCTTTCGGGCGTCCAACTTTGCTATTCTCCCGCTTATTGGTCGCTCGCCAAGAATGCTGTGCAAACGGCATAATTTTCTTTTAAGGCCTTTGTGTTCCTCTGATGACATTTGAAGTCTAAATTGCGGAATTTAAAGCTGAAATAAAATCATACCCTGTCAAGTTTCTTATCATGTAAATTCGGTAGTATAGCATATCATATGGCATAATTTACGTTAGTGCAATTATTTTTCAAAACTTAGTAGCATTCAGTCAGTTTCGAATTACGTGAATTGAGTCGTCAGTCAATAATTAAATTTATCAAGGTTAGATGCAGCAACATAACTATATTACGTGTAGTTCGTTTAACGCAAATAAATGTCAATTGCATTGAGTCAATAGATTTATTATTATGCGTCTAAAACCGCTCAAAATATGCAATAAAATATTTCATTATTTCCCAAGGTATCTAATGCTTTTAGAATTCGCGTTCAGATAGAGCGCCTGATATAAGGCAAGGTCGGCCTTACATTTCTCACAGGAGCTAAAGTTATTCGTGAAAAAGTCAAGCCACCAATTCATCAACACTGGTAATTTATTTATTGAATTATAGGACCATCGATTGCCATCTTTACTGCCCCATACATCGCAATGGTTCATGGCAATGAGTTGAGCTACGCAAAATTTTGCTGTGGAAGCTTAAAATAATTTTAAGAGCCTTTCTAAATCCTCAAGTTATAGTCAAGGAGAGAACAATATTCAGCTCCTTAAGTTACAGTTGTGGGTTCTCAAGTAAGGTTATTACAGTTCAAGTTATATAGTTGAGTAAAGTTGTAGAATTGAGCGAAGAGTGAACCTTTTTTATAATTCAATTTGGTTTGAAGTTATTTGTCCTAATTACAGTCAAAGTTGACGTCTGACGTCCGAGTTGTTTTTTCTTCAAAAATGTTCGAGTCACAGAATTGTTATGCATCATTTCAGATCTTTGTAATTGCTTTGTTGCCGAAGTATTTTATAAGTAAAAATTTTATATGGGTAGTTTCTGATTATCTTAGAGATAATGATAGTCTATTTGCAAACTTTCGTTTTTAAAATATAATATGCTTAGTGGTAGCCTTGGACCAAGACTCGGTGTTGGATACGCGAGGCGAATTTCTGCTTCAGAGCGCTGCTGCTGCTGCTCATCTGGAGTACTCGTACCGAACTTTGGTTGACGCGCTCGAAAATCCAGGTAGGCAACTGCACCATAGTAGACATACTAGTAGGATATTAGGTACGTATTTGCATTCTAAAATACGGGTTGGAAAAAAGAGTTGAGGACTGCATACAAGTAAAGAACTTGTGAACCAATGCACTGTACTGCACTCTAGTAGACTATCTGCTAACCACTGCAAGCAATCGCACTTCAGTAGTCGCATTTGGAAGTGCGAAGGCAGTTTGGTAGATGCGAAAAAACTGGCAAATTTTTCCACGCTAGATAACGCGCAGCTGAAACAAGGTACAGATCGAGTTCTGGAAAGCACTGGCAGAACAAGTTATATCTTCATTTTCTAGTAGACGCCCTAGCGTAACACAAAAATGTAACTGCACTCATTTAGTCAGAAGAACTTGCTAAGCATTACGTAACAGCGCTGTGACAGAAGCGTTTTAAAATCATATCGGTAATTGCGCTCTGGCAGGCGAGCTCCCCGACCCTATTAAAAAAACCTGCTTGCAGTTCCTGGTAGGTAACAGCTTTCTTGTTCGTGTTTAAGGAGTCACTATATTTTAACTGCAGGTTTTCTGTGTTTAAAAGTTAAAGTTTGCTTCAGATACGAATTAAAAAAAAACTCTACTAAAATTTCTGTGTCAGATCGCGCTGCAGTGACTATAGGTTTTGGCCCATGTTCGCGGCTGACGAGTCTGGCAGAGACTCGGCAGTCCGAGGGCCTGGGTCCACTGATGTTGCTGGCCACGGAAGACTGCGATGGAAGCTCCCGTGACTATGAAATCCAGACTAAAGACCGGCTCTTTGTGGCGCTGTACAATGCCTTGGTATGTTCATATCAACAGCCATGTATCCATTTTCATTCTCATGATCAATAATAGAGGGGATTATTAGGATGATGTTCATTATGGTCTATCATTCTCCAATGCATAGTTTTCAATCGTCACTCCAGGTGAAGAATTATTCTCAAAATGAATTTGTTTAAGCTACAATTCATGATGGACTGCAAAAAAAAAAAGCAACAAAAAATACCAAAACTTACCTTTTGGTCAGATAAAATTATTACTAAATTTTGATCTTATGAAAAATTTTGACCAATCAAGCAGTTAATAAAATTAATTCTTAAACCATGCTTAAAGGAACGTCATAAATGGACGTGTTTGGCCCCGCTGTTGACATGGTGGTTGCCATGGCAAGTCAACAAACTTACGAACACCAACCGAGCAAACAGAACTCAAACATTCCTCAAACACCTGGACGCTATAATGACACCGAGGAGGTGGGCTTTCTCTTCCAGAAAGGAGACAGGAATGTATATATTATGAACTAAAGTTACTTTAATTTTGATCGATTTACCTTGTCCTCTATTTCTTGTCCAAGTAAATTGAAGTATCATGAGAATTATAATTCAGATTAACGCATTATTCCCAATAGATAAACCAATGACCGTTCCATGAAGCACACGGAAGTAACGGTAAAATACTTAATGCTATTCGTACGTTTTATAAAGCTGAAATATTAGACTGCGTTCAGGACATTGTGTTGCCACATTCAATGTTATTGTGATCAATAAATCTGAAATAATGTGATGACAATCAAATGAAAACGCTAAAAATTGCACAATGTTTGCAGTGCAGAAAATTGCACAGTGTTTTCATAGAGTGCCCGAGTCTATAAATTTTTAACATCTCAAACGTACCGGTGCCATGCGGACTTGCACGAGAGTCTTCATGCCAGTGCAGAAGACAAAAAAATGTAGTTTACAAATCATAACTAAGAAGTATTTAGGCAATATTTTTCCGTCTCGCAAGCATTTGGCTACTCGCTCGTTCAATAAGTAAAGCAGCTCTCGCCCTGCAGGCGTAATAAACCATGCGTTTATCTAAATAAATATGAGCAAATGTTGAATACAAATCGTAACTAAGAAGTATTTACTAAATTTTTTCTCCGTTTCGCAAGCATCTGGCTACTCGTTGCTTCAAAAAGTAAAGCAGCTGACGCCCTGCAGGCTGGTGTGAGAGTCTTTATGTCAGTTCATGCACGTTTATCCAAATAAATATGGACAAATGTGTACAAATCATAACTAAGAAGTATTTACCAAATTTTTCTCCGTTCCGCAAGTATTTGGCTACTCATACCATCATAAAGTAAAGCAGCTGACGCCCTGCAGGCTGGCGCGAGAGTACGTGGAGTGCAGCGCCCCTCCCTTGCATGTGCCGCGCGTGCTGCCTGACGGGCTGACGCGGGAGGAGCAGCTGCTGCTGGGGAGGCAGTACCTCAACGGGCGGCACCTTAACATCGTCACCATGAACGTCAATCCAGTTTAAAATAATAATAAGTTGCAATTTTTACGCTGCTAGATTAATTTTGCTTCCAAAAGAACATACAAATAAGAAAAAATATAACTCAGTACTCACTTCAGTGAGTGACAGAGATCGCATTTTTTCGTCGACGAAAACGTGAAGTCACGGACAGGCGGACAAACAGACGGACTGACGGACAGACGGACGGACATGGCGAGCACAATAGCTCTTTTTTCCATAAATGAGAAAATGCGCTAAGAATTTCGGTGCGTGTATTATATATTTATTATGTCAATTATTTATGATGGTTGAGATCAAGACCTAGGTTATCTTACATATTTTCGGTAAGGCCAATCTTCAACCAATGTAAAACTATAATCTAAATCTATAATCTATAATCTAAATTCCAGAGTATTCTTAAAATCAACGAAAACCTGAAGTCACGGACAGAGAGACGGACGGACAGACGGACATGGCGAGCACAATCGTGCATTTTTTCATTAAATGAGTAAATGCGCTAAAAAGTCAAAGGAAAATTAATCTTCAAGAAAATTAAGTGATAATAACGCTTGTATTTACTGATGGAAGGAAGTGTAACTTGCAGAATACCAGTTCTTCGAACATTTCGCTATTTTGCTTTATTGAATTTTGCTGATAATACAAGTAAGTTTCACTGAAGCCAGCGTAGAGAATATCATAGGTTGAGGTGCCTTGTCTTCTGATAAGTCCCTAAATTATCAAACTGGGATCTGTTCAAGGCTTCTCAGACATTCAATTCGTTCAGATTTTCACACTATAACGAGTTTAGGGTCTGGCATCCCCCATTTAGAATCTTTTTATAATCTGTAATATAAAATAAATTTAGGGTCATTTGTTTCCTCGAGGCATTGCTCGGAAATCGAAGCGCCGTACATTGGGCAGTTGATTGCTTACACGCAGTTTAGTTACGCTGTCAATTACGTTGGTCGATATCGCGGTCATGCGGTGCAGACTTCGATGACAGATGCTGCCGATGCATCTGCTATTACGAGCTCAATTGAAAAGATTATTCGTTCCGTAATGTACCATCCACGCATTTGCTTTTGTTTGATGCGATCACAATGAGTTCCTGATCGCAGAGAACAATGTTCATTGCGTTAACAGGCAAATATTAATCGATTTGTTGTACAGTTATCGTTAAGATGAAATTTGGATAGACTTGGTCCGTATTTTGTGTAGGATAGTCGATAAGTAACGCCTTGCACTCACTGTATTTAAACTTTAAACATATGGTCTCAGCTAGGAAGCTTAAGGGGACCGACCTAGCATACGGAAAACTTCTACAGTTATTATCCGATTGTCATGAAACTTCACATACATACGTAAAATGTAAAAAAAAAACATTTTGCTCCTATGAATTTTTCGAAAAAATTGATAGAAAACGTGAAATTCATAGAAAACGGCTAAAAAGGGGTACTTCAGAAAATCTCCTCCCACAAGTATCATCCTACAACATCGAGACACGTATCATTCGATTCGTAAAGACCATATCTATCGACTCTAACATCACTTTTTTCATTTTCCACCTAGTTTTTTTTATGACGTTTTTTCCCATTTTTTACATTTTCCACCCCTCCCCCCCCTTCTTCCCCATATAAAAAACGAACCAGACCGAAATTCAAAAAAGTGATGTTAGAGTCGATAGGCCTAGTCTTTACGAATCGAACGGTATATGTCTCATTGCTGTAGCTTGAAAACTGTAGGAGAAGATAGGTTTTCCGTGACAGTAAGTTGAACTTTTCAAATTTTTCAGGACGGCGCGACAAAGTCTCGCGCGCCTCGAAATAGGCACTCAATGTAGCATGGATACCAAAGTACAGGCTTCTGTAGCTTAGTCCACTCAAGGATGCAAGCAGCAACTTGTAGCGCACCTCTCCGTTCAAAGCTAGAAGGGTAACTGAGCTCAGATGACAGATGCACCCAGATATGTAGTCTTGCCGCTGTAATTATCTCTCGTCTATTTACTTAAGAACTCCACCCCCCGCCCCCAAATAAAGGCGGGCCATCTGCGTCAATATTGCCGTATATAGATGGCAGTAGTATCGTTGGAAAGCTCAGAATGTCAGCTTTAAGATGAGACTAAACAGATGAGCACAAAAACCGAAAAACGTCAAAATTGAAAATTTTAGCTAGGTCGGTCCCCTTAAATTCATCAAACGTTACACAAAACGAGCCAGCTAGCTCGTTTAATAATTAATTACTATTATAATACATCTTGCGTTCATTCTCGTATGAAATAAGATAATTTCGGTTGATTTTTGTACACTTTAATTTAACAACGTAAGCATGGTTTTCATTACTTATCGTTCCAAATATCTACACCTTGGAGACGTCTTAATCAATGCCTAAATGATTTTTGAACAAAATACAGGGTGAACCAGAATTAACTGACCCTTTTAATTTGTTAATAAATAAAAAACTAAGAACGTTATACAATATTACCATAAAAATGTTCCTCTTTTCAATAAAACAAGTTTCAACTTCATAATGTTCTTAGTTTTTTATTTGTTAACAAATTAAAGGGGTCAGTTAATTCTGGTTCACCCTGTATAACTCGAAATTATATTCTTTTCGATGTTCTGTAATTTGAATCTAATAATTCATAACAGCGTCCTCCATTCACGTTCCTGAGCCAGCAAACCATCGGGTCGAAGCATGTCATCGTGGGTCCTGTTCAAGGCTTCTGTGTTGAGATGTTCGACGTTCTGGTCAATAAGTATAATTTCACGTAAGTTTATTGTTTACCTGTAAATGAAACGGACAGAATAAATAATAAAATGCAATCAGAGACTGTTTATTTAGTTTATTGAATTGATTATATTTTTAACTGTTTTTTTTATGTCGACAGGTAAAGTACAAATCAACCAAATTTGCTGTTCAAAGTATTTAAGGCATTTTCTTGTGGATATGATTCACAAGCAGAGATTTTCTGAATTTACCTATTTTATAAATAAGTTTGTATATGACTCTGATCGAAATTTTTCATGTCTTGTTAGTATATTAAAATTATCAACACTGAATTCATCTGATAGGATGCATTAACAATTTGATTATTATCAGTTGATCATCATAATATCGAAAGACGTTGATTTCTTTAGATGAACACAAGTTCGACGAAAGTGTTACTAGCGATTATTCAATTTTAACGATAGTTCAATATTCAGTCGGACTACTTTCATGTTACCCAAGTAAATTAATTCTTCTATTAATTTGTGATGGGACATTAAGAGATATAAATGTTGCTGCAACAGCGTAAATGCAGGGTACTTATTTTATATGAATGAAGTGGTGGCTTTGAGTTGAACTTGTTTTTGATAGGTTTACGCTGGAGCTCCCGTACGACGGAAACTGGGGCAATCAGATGCCTAACGGCACGTTCAACGGCATGATCGGCATGGTGGAGAGAGAGGTAAATATTAGGTAAGCCACAACGGCATGGTCGGCATGGCGGTGAGAGAAGTAAATATTAGGTAAGCCACAACGGCATGGTGGAGAGAGAGAGGTAAATATTTGGTAAGCCACAACGGCATGGCGGTGAGAGAAGTAAATATTAGGTAAGCCGCAACGGCATGGTGGAGAGAGAGGTAAATATTAGGTAAGCCACAACGGCATGGTCGGCATGGTGGAGCGAGAGGTAAATATTAGGTAAGCCACAACGGCATGGTGGAGAGAGAGAGGTAAATATTTGGTAAGCCACAACGGCATGGCGGTGAGAGAAGTAAATATTAGGTAAGCCGCAACGGCATGGTGGAGAGAGAGGTAAATATTAGGTACGCCACAACGGCATGGTCGGCGTGGTGGAGAGAGAGGTAAATATTAGGTAAGCCACAACGGCATGGTGGAGAGAGAGAGAGGTAAATATTAGGTAAGCCACAACGGCATGGTGGAGAGAGAGAGAGGTAAATATTAGGTAAGCCACAACGACATGGCGGAGAGAGAGGTAAATATTAGGTAACCCACAAGAGAGAGAGAGGTAAATATTAGATAAGCCACAACGGCATGGTGGAGAGAGAGGTAAATATTAGGTACGCCACAACGGCATGGTGGAGAGAGAGGCAAATATTAGGTAAGCCACAACGGCATGATCGGCATGGTGGAGAGAGGTAACTCATTTTTATTCCCTAATGTTAATTGGTTACACTGTATAATCATTGTCTCCTATTGCAAAATGAAAATGTTATTTTAATCAACGAATTTTGTTTCATGAACACCATTATGTACTAATAATTATTATGAGAAGTAGACGTCATCGCATCGAATTTATTAATGACGTTTTTGGTAAGGAATGGTAATTTTATAAAATATAAGTATGAGTTTGTGATTGCACCATCATACTTTAACTGGTCAGCTCATAACAGTGGGCTGACATGGCGATGACAGGCTGCACCATCACCGAGGACCGGGATGCCGTTGTCGACTTCACGCATCCCTTCTACGAGGATCCGGAGACCATCCTCATCCGCGCCCCTGGAGAGCGACCCAACGCCCTGGCCTTCCTACAGCCCTTCACATACAAGGTGAAGGCAGCCGGTCTTCTTTTACTCGATTACGCCTTCACATACAATGTGCCGGGTTGCCGGTGTTCATTTATTGCATTACGCCTTCATCAACAAGGTGCAGTGATGCCGGTCTTCGGGTTGCTTTCAAGTTGGTGACTTCTTAGACGTATAATTTTTACCTATCTTTCTAGTCCTAATCATTTTAGTATAATCAATGAATAACACTACATCTAGACGCTACACACTCACCGATACTCATTAAGCTATTAAGCTTCAGTGCGAGACTACACAATTCACATTATATTCATATTATTCTTGAAATTTAATTAGTAAAATAGTGAAGAAATTTGTCCTTAAGCTATTTCAATTTTCAAGAGGATTGGCCCAAATCTCAACCCCGCAGGTGTGGCTGCTGATCCTCAGCAGCCCGTGTGCGGTTGGTCCCTTGCTGTGGCTCATGACTGAGGGTACAGGCGACTGGTCGCCCTCACTCTACCCTCACAAAGGGCGCAGTGCGTCGGTACTCAACTACATCTGGGGCGCAGGCTTCTGCCTCATTGCTCAGGGTAGGAAGAAATCAGAGTGAAATGTGTAAGTAGAAGAAAAATGGAATATTTTTCTGAAAACGGAATAAAATTTACATGGTAGTAGTGAAATTGTGAGGAAATTAAGAGCCAGTTTTCAGAGTTAGTTAAAATCGTTTTTTTCCCTATACAATAGGTGTGAACATTTTCTTCTGATGACGAGTTGCGGTTGACGTTAGTAGTCGTCTGCAACTATTTTCCTCTGATTCTAAAAATTATATAAACATAACTGTAGATATTTATAGATATTTTTTCACTATAATTAAATTCTTTGTAACTAAAATGGCATTACAGGTTATGAACTGCGTTTAAATGAGAGTAGCCGCGTGATGTTGGGTTTGTGGTGGACCTACTGCATGATTTTGATCTACACTTACACTGGAAACCTGATCGCCTTCCTGACCGTGCCGCGCTTGGCGGGCATCATACAAAGTCTCGATGAATTGGCCAATCAGAGAGAAGTTCTCTGGACGTATCGAGCGGAGTCTGTGCTTGATACTCTTTTCGCAGTGAGTGGACAGAATTATATTAATACATCGATTTTCGAGTGGTAATTACGCAGATAACGTTTTGTCCATATGTGGTTATCTCGCACCAGACATGTGATATAACGGGGATTAAACGATGTTTCAACAAAATCAACTTGTAATCAACTTTGTGTCACCGTCATTTACCTGGACGGTGGGAACAAATGTAGGGTTTTAAATTATATAATTCTTTAAATGATAACACGATGTGTCTTTTCTGGTGAAATTTAATATATCTCAAATTGCGTACAACATATTGAGTGTTCCACATAATGTTCTTCATAACGTTTCCAGATAAAATTCTCTACACTGAATGCTCCACGAAGAGTTTTCTATTTAAGATTTGCACTATTTTCGAGGTAGGGTCGCACCTTCTGTTAAGATAAATGTTCATTTTGCAATCAACAACAACAACAACTGCCAACATTTAAAACCTTTCTGTCAGTCCTTTGTCGTATTTATATTTTGTTATGACTTGATGTAGACTTTGTTATGACTTGATGTAGACTTTGTTATGACTTGATGTAGACTTTGTTATGACTTGATGTAGACTTTGATATGACTTGATGTAGATTTTGTTATGACTTGATGTAGTTCATCGTACTGCAATTCAACGTACAGAACGCACATACAGCGATGTATCGCCGGATTCGGGCTATGATAGTAGGTAACAATCATTTTACCATAGATATAGTTAAAAATATTTTTGTTTAATTGTTTCTTCGTTCATATTAGTATTCTCCTTATAATCTGATAAGGGTGCAGAAAATGGAACGTATCGCAAGATCGGGGACTTGAAGCACACACACAAGGATCTGCTGGTCAAGTCGGATGTTGACGGTATAAACGCTGTGCTGCTCAAGAATATGGCTTTCATAAAGGTATTATTAGGCGTAACTTATTCAACACATTTGTTCACATTATTCATATTATAATAAGTAAATATTATAACTTATTTGTAAACATTACCCATGAATTATCATGATGAATCCTCATTGAAGATCTGTTCATGAATGCTGTTATTTTGTCCTTCCCATAAGAAATTCCATTGTGAACGTTTCTAAGAAAATGGTTACATTGGACGTTCTCTTAATGTTTTTCGGTAATTGTTCGGTTAATGTAGTTCACGTAATGTTTTTCGTTAAATCACTAAACAAATGCTTTGCCTATGCTTCTCCGGTCCGCAGGAGCAAAGTTATTTAGACTTTGCCATGGAGAAGGACTACTTAGAGACCAAGCGGTGCCGTCTAACACTTGTCCCAGAGCTCTTCTTCAGCGCCCCCTTTGGGTGGGCGGTGCAAGAGCATAGCGTCTTCTTGCCACTACTGAACACCGAGTACGTTTCTCTTTTTCCCCTAAAAATGCGTTAGTTTAATTAGCATCTAATATATTTTCTGTAACTTAAGAAATGTAAAAAATCAAGTTAGTAATACAATCATGACAAACAATGCATCGGAATTTAGGCCGCTAACAGAGATGGGTAGAAAAATAGACGAGATTATGATTTATTGGCTCAAAATATGATACGAAAATGAAATAGAATTCATTTGCTTTAAAGTTCGAGTTATTTCCCTGTTAGTTACCGCAGTTATTTGATCGTTTAATTTATTTTTTCAAAATTTAATCAACTCGTTCTTATATTTATCATTGATAAAATAAAAACATTATTTACCAAAGTGAAATTATCCTCGCATCAGGATACTGCGCATGATGCAGTCAGGATTACTCAAGGTGTGGAAGATCAAGCATTGGCCCAAGCCCAACGAGTGCACCGCGAGAGCTGACGTAAGGACCACTGGGCCAAGGTCTCTCAGGTAAGGTTCGAGGTTCAGGCCCTTGAGCCCACTGCCTCATCTTTAAATAATTACAGGGGTTTATTATTACAATATATTGAAAAAGGGGAATAAAATCAAGATGCAAGGGCATCATATACTCCAAAATTAAGTTCAACTATAGCACAAATGGCCAGATGAATACGTCATCTGTTTTGTTAATTTATAGTTTATTTAATTTTAATTTCAGGGTTAGGACTTGCGGCACACTAGATTTGACAGCGTAATTAGTGTTTTCATTCCTTCCGTAATTTTATATTTTTTTCCTCCGACGCTGCAGGCTACGAGACCTGGGCGGCCACTTCATCGTGCTGGGTCTCGGCTGCAGCGTCGCACTGGGCGCCTTACTCCTGGAGCTGTGGTACCGACGACGCTCCTTACCACGTCGTGGGTTGTTGTTCTTTTGTTTGATGCCTCTCGACCGGAAGACCCGAGTGGGCCTTGCTGTCGTGCCGTTATTTATAAACACTTAGCCCGAGCTTTATTTAATTTATACTGGTAGTAGCATTAACACCATTCAGTTGATGTTGGTAGCAGCCTTTGCACCAATTAGTTGGTGCTGGTACTAATACTTGCCAAATTTAGAGAGCCCAAACAAAAACCTGGTAACGCCCAGGCTTCTGCCCAGGAGTAGCTGCCTTCGGCTCAGAGTTATAAATACAATATAAATATACTGAGTCTGTTTGGCCACACGATCGACATCAAGTTCTGGTCACAATCTTTTTACCGACATAAGGCGCTCTTAGAGTATGACAAGAGATGGCCAAGAAGAGTCATATCAAGCTTGCAAGCTGCTTAGAAACAGCATTTTAATCCCGGCCGAATGTAAGGGCTACTCGAGTCCTGGGGGGGGGGGGGGGACAACTGTCGCAGAGTCGGGTCCGCATCAAAATTTTGTTAGGGTGTCGCCGCTAGTGCATGAGAACCATGTAGTTAGGTTTGGTAGTAGCACGAGAACCATTTAGTTACGGCTGGTAGCAATATACGAGTACCACCTTGGGTGCTGGTAATAGCATAAGCTCCATTTAGTGTGTTGCTAGTAGGATGAGCATTAGTTTTGCCCCAGTAATAGTTTTGTCCTAGTAATAAGGCAAGCATCGAGCTGTGTATCATTGGTACTGACATGTGTTTTAGTGTATATACTGAATTAGCAGTTTTGTTTCATGCCTCTTCAGAACGAACAGAGTTATTGCATTTAAGGAGCCCGGAGGATTTGCCTAGCTAGATAGCAATATTGCTAAATTTGATTTGTAATGGTTGTGACCTCTGAGTTTTTTAATTAATTATCCTATTTTTTTACAGTTACTGAGGTTGAACGACATGAAAAGATCAGCAATCATCTAACGCTCAAAGAAATGCCACTGGATATCTTCAAGTGAATTCACAAGTCTAAATGGTCATCGTCGATACGGCATCCGATTTCATGTTACCTCCTCGAACGGCACAACTGACACTAACAATGATAGACCGGCGAATAGCAAGCAAATAGTAATTATTTTTCAATAACGTCAAGCCCACTGACCTTTTCTTCAATAAGTTCAGATGAAGCAACGTGATCGTATATCAAGTAATCCCTCGCAATATCGCGCTTCACATATCGCAGTTTCACTTCATCGCAGATTTTCAAGAAATATTAAAGATAAGAATCGTTCGCGAATCTTCGCTGGTTCGCGGATTTATGAGGAAGTCGATCGGTAAATTTAAACAGCCCGCGGAAGTTGGCCTGGAAGGATTTGCAAATACTTAAAAACATGAAAGCATACTGAACAATAACAGTATGAATATTTAAATTGATACTATCAATCGATCAATTCCCCATCACGGATTTCACCTATCGCGAGCTAGGTCTAGAATCTAACACCCGTCATTCGTGAGTGATTACTGTGTAACATAACTAACATTCATATATCTGTTTGATTCAGTATTGTTCGGAAATATAATACAAATTCTTGACTGAACAACCGAGGAGCTCGCAAATATTCAATCCCTAATGACCACCCAAAATATGAAGATGAAAATCTGTCCAAATGAAAAGTTCGCCCATGAAATTTAGCGTGGGCATTAATAAATCATTAAATTTGGCTTGTTGCATTTTCCACTAACCTTTTGTATGAACGTATTTGCCCAGAGCCACTTAATGAATTACTAATTCAGTAATGTAAAAAAATTCTATGCCTATTTAATCGAATCGACATTTCTCCGAATTCATCTGAGAACTCACCAGCAGACTCAAAACTGAACCTGTCATAAGTCTTTCAATTCTGAGCGGATCTGCTTGAAATTTGGAATACTAGTATAAGTAACTTTTAGCAATGCGCAAAGATGGCAATTTTTGCAAATTTATACTCCATTGCGTTTTTTGATAAAACGAAGAAACGCAACTTTAGCGCAACCGAAGCAGTCATTCAGTTTCGTACCTATACGGATCTTGTTGAAATTCAGAATATAAATAATTATATGCCATGCACCGCGATAAGGATTATTACAGATTTTTATGCCATTACGTTTTTGATTAAAACGAACCTAACCTTGCCTATCTAAACCCAACTTAATTTTTTAAAATTTATTTTTGTTCAAAAACGAATCACGTACCTCTCAATACCGGAAGCGGATTGGCATGCCATGAATAGGCATTATTCGGCATGAATTGAGGGTCGGATTAAATTAGTAAAGAAAACATTTTCAATGAAAGAATGATATTTCAAAAATGTCTCTATTGAACTTGAAAACTTTATAGATAAAATAAGCTTAATATCATGCATAAAGGAAGCTCGTAAAGTATTTTGGTACATGGAGACGATCTAGCTTTGTTGTCCGTTATATTGATGAATTGTGGTCTCGAACAATCCTCACATTGTTGCAAATCCCTTTTTAACAATAGAAATGAAATCTAAAAATTTAAATTAAACAAAATAAATCAAAAACTACTAGCAATTGAAATCGAAAATTTAAAATCACAATGGCTTTACCAATATATGCTATCGCTAAATCACCTCAGTTTCAGCATTCCTGAAATAAAATTGAAGACAGACCTGTGTTCTGGCTCCTGTTTATGGTCTCACTTGCGTGAGTCAATGAATTTCGTTTATTCAGGAGCAATTACAAGCTGACGTATAAGAAGCTTCGCTTTCACAACCGGAAGCGGAGTATTCATGATCTGGCCTCCATCGCTGACGCGTGCAGGCTCCGTAGAGTTTCCTGGCATTCCCGGTCCTGGCGGTACAGTGAGTACGGGGAATGATGGTCCTCATTGTAGCTCTATATAAATATATTAATTGAATGAATTATATTTAATTAAAAAAATGTGTACTATATTTTATGTCGAGAAAGCGTAATGATTTACTGATTAATAAGGTTGTCCCTCCACAATCAAAACCCGCTTTTTTCAGTGCTGGAGCTAGTGGCAAATGTAAAATCGAGATACGATGGGTCACAAAACCCTTCGGTCCGGCTCAAGCATCGTCATTTTGACTCTAATTGTTACTACCGCTGGTCAAAGGTTTAATAAGCTTGGTGAGTTTCACTCGGGGTAACAATAACACTAATATTTTGGTATCAACAGAATTGGTTGGTGAAAACGCTCGATGCGGGAATTGTTTTGTATACGGTGCGTAGAAATTAAACAATAGGTTTGGAATGATGCTAAAAAATGTAAAGAATTAAATCTGTTACCAATGAGGAGTCAAAAATTGTCTGAACGTAGTGAGTGATTAAACTTATAATAATACTGTTACTTGCATGAATTCACCATGAACTTGAACCAGCAAACGCATGTGCAGCAAAGTTTTCGTATAGATGATTTGAAAATATTTTTGAATAAAAATTCCACAAAAATGAATCATATCTATCCAAATAATTAATTGGCTGGAATTATTTATGACCGGTCTTTCCGGGTAACGGCGTCTTAATTTCGTTTTTCCATTATCCATCTAAAGGCCAGATTAAGACAATGGTTAGGACATTCAAACTCTACTAAGTGGAGTTACATATCATTAGAAGTTTTATTACATGCTAATCTTTTAGAGTTTTTCCTTAGAGAGACATTATTTTTATTCATCATTTGTAAATGCTACGAAATAATAAAAACTAAATTCCACTATACAAAACGTCTCATTAACAGGATGTAGGTCTTTGTTTAGAATATTGTATGGCTTTTAGCGTAATAACGTGAGAAGTTTATGTTTACGTTAGACAAAGTGTAGACATCACTCAGCAATCATTGATTGAAATAAGAAGCTAGCTTAGACAACAGCTCATTCTTTTCGTTGTTTAGCTGCGCCGCTCAAACAATTGAACCTGAATAAAATACACTCAAATACCATAAACTATGCTCATACATTTCACCTTTCCTTTCGCGTGTATTTTGAAAACACGGGTCCCTAAAAATTGGATTAAATTAGAATTTGTTCTCTTTCTGTGTTGATTTGTTCTATGAACCTGACGAGACTTCGTGAAAATGCTTTGCTGATGACATTATCATTAAGACAGCATCGCGCTAACAAAATAGTTGTTGTCTATTTTCTAACATAAACAAGAGTCTGATGTAGGTAAAGAACAATTATTTTTGATGGGAGCTTCCGAGAAGTAAGAGATTACAGCAATTATATCCAATTGCTGTATGATATTGAAAATTATTTATGTATTTCTTCTTGAACTGGTATTTGATGTATAGGGAATTGGATTTAGGTTAGTGTAAAAGTGTGTGTTTGTAGGGTAGGTAAACATAATTAATAATGATTCAGGCTCTTTACAGGCGTTTAGACTCCTAACGTAAATTTATATGCTTTTTAATAATATACATTATTGAGTTTATTAATTTTTTTAGGAATTTTCCCTTTAGGTCTGAAGTACATTGTGTCAATGGCTTCTAATTTTTTTAATTGCCGAGCTTAAAATGAAACGATTAAACAAAACCTTTGCGTCGGCTGGAGTATTAAGGGAAGAATGAACATACGAAAGAAAAATAACTGAGAATTTAAATAATTGTAACAATTTAATTGATAATTACTCTGACCATTTTAGTGCTCAAATAGGTGAGAAACTGAACTCAGCTGCATCTAATTACACCAGTCATTTAAATTACTGTTCTAGCTTCTGGTGTCGCAGAAGTAATAAATAAAGAAATGTAGAATATTAAAGTTCTATATTTATATAAAGTAGTGCTTTATTAAGTATGTAGTATTTTTAGTATGCATAGTAATGCCCTTCAATGGATCTCAGTTTCACAGAACAAGAACTTCGTAAACTGCGCACTTGAACTTATATTTTTTCAATAATTTTATCGCGATTTTCACCATCGCCGAGGCCTGAGATTGAATGTTACTTTATTCAAGGTTCAGTCTTGCGTCACTTGAGCTCCAAGTCGATTATTTGCCCTCGTGTATCACCAAAATGAGCACCTGCACTAAGCAGAGCTTTGCTATTCTCCCGCTTATTGTTTGTTCGCCAAGAATGCCGTGCAATCGGAATAATTTGAGCTTAATGCGTTCATGTTCCTCGTTCGACATTGACGTGAAATTGTGAAAGTTATAGTTGAGGTAGGTAGCGTTATTCGGCATCCATGGTATAGTTGGTGTCATTCCTGTCATTAATTTTGACTGCATTTACTCAATAGATTATCGATTTCGAATTTTGAAAAGTACCATTGGAAACGTACCACCACTGCAAACCACCGATGCGCTTAGTTTACGTACCAGTGGGACGTTTAGCTTGGTTTTGCAAATTTTCCTAAAACTTTTACTGCTCCACCAATACACTTTACGACTAGAGCAGTTGATGTACAGCGGGATTGGCCTTACATTCTGCTTATTGCGATTCAAGGAAGAGGCAAACTGATTATTTGTCTTTCGGATTCTACGTACAACCATTGATTATAATTTCTGTTGGCCTCATACCTTGCCGTTGTTCATGGCAGTTATTGCTAATATCCAGGGAATATCGAGGCTACATTTTCTGATTAGAAGCGCTATTATTCTTCGAATATGAGGTCATGAATAAATATTAAATTAATCATGTCATAAGCATTAAATTACTGACGTGCCTTTACTGCAACGCTCGCGATTAGAATTTTTCGGCTTTGTGAGTGATGGTCTTTCTATGTAATTACCTCATATTCAGACAGAATTTTGTCTTAATTGTATGTGATTATTGATGATAAATAAATTATTTCGTGCTCTAACATATAAACTAATTAGAGGTGGCCGTGAGTGAAGACTCAGTGTTGGATTTGCGAGGCGAATCTCTGCTTCAGAGCGCTGCTGCTTCTGCTGATCTGGAGTACTCGTACCGATCTTTAGTAGACGTAATCGAAAAACCAGGTAAGAAGCCAGACTCGATTGAAAATACAAAATTTCATTATCAAATTTCAAGAGTTTTATCGTAAATATTTGATTTTTCGTTCCTTTATCATATGAAACAACCATTAAAGAAGTTTTTAATTCTGCCTAACTCGTTTTTACTAAATGTTAGAGAAAAATTCCAAACATGGCGTAGCGAAATAGCCCTGGAAACAACATTTGGAAGAAGATATATCGTGTCATTATCTTCTCAGATCCCGGTGCAGTGACCATAGGTTTAGGCCCATGTTCGCGGCTGGCGAGTCTGGCAGAGACTTGGCTGTCCGAGGGCCAGGGTCCACTGATGTTGCTGGCCACGGAAGACTGCGATGGAAGCTCCCGTGACTATGAAATCCAGACTAAAGATCGGCTCTTTGTGGCGCTGTTCAATGCCTTGGTATGTTCATATCAACAGCCATGTATCCATTTCCATTCTCATGATCAATAATAGAGGCGATTATTAGGATGATGTCTATTATGGTCTATTATTTTCCAGTGAATAGTTTCATTCGTCATTCCAGGTCAAGAACTATTCTCAATATGAATTTGTTCAAACTGAAATTCATGATGGACTGCAAAAAAAAAACAATAAACAAGATCGAAACTTATTACCTTTTGGTCAGATAAAGTTATTACTAAATTTAGATCTGATGAAAAATTTTGACCAATTAAGGAGGTAATAAAAGTAATTCCTAAACTATGCTTAAAGGAACGTAATAAATGGACGTGTTTGGCCCCGCTGTTGACTTGGTGGTTGCCATGGCAAGTCAACAAACTTACGAACACCAGCCGTGCCAACAGAACGCAAACATTTCTCAAACACCTAGACGCTATAATGACACCAAGGAGGTGAGAGTCCAGTTCCATTATGAAGATAAGAAACTTGATGCTTTAAGTTAACATTACCTCTGCTGTGGTTCTTGCTTCATTACCCTTTATTTACTGGTCAGATAAACTGCTTGGACGAAGAATTTAATAACGAGAAATGCATCAACACGATTTTTATAATTTGCGCGCATCTTGAGACATGCATGTATAAGGTAGCAGCGTCAATATAGCAACTGAATGGAGTGAATGTTTTAATGATTACACGAAGGAAATTTATCCAGCTACCTTTTCGGCAACAAGCAACATGATGATCGCGATTTCTACCTGTGTATGGTCATTTCCAAATAAAAACGACTAAGATTATTGTGTTCAGTCAAATTAAATACTTTTTAATGCTGTATGTATTCTAGCATTTTATTAATTAAAGTATCTATTTTAAAAACATTTAAAAGTATATGTAATCTTCTCCCATTTACTTTACTTGGCTTTTCGTTCCTTCAATAAGTAAAGCAGCTCATGCCCTGCAGGCTTGCGCGAGTCTCTATGCCAGTGCATGCATGTCATTTCCAAATAAATATGGAAAAATGTTGCATGCAAATCATGACTAAGAAGTATTTACTAAATCTTTTCTCCGTCTCGCAAGCATTTATCTACTCGTTCGTTCAATAAGTAAAGCAGCTCACGCCCTGCAGGCGTAATAAACCATGCGTTTATCTAAATAAATATGGACAAATGTTGCAAACAAATCATAACTAAGAAGTATTTACTAAATTTTTTCTCCGTTCCGCAAGTATTTAGCTACTCATACCATCATAAAGTAAAGCAGCTGACGCCCCGCAGGCTGGCGCGAGAGTACGTGGAGTGCAGCGCCCCTCCCTTGCCTGTGCCGCGCGTGCTGCCTGACGGGCTGACGCGGGAGGAGCAGCTGCTGCTGGGGAGGCAGTACCTCAACGGGCGGCACCTCACCATCGTCACCATCAATGTCAGCGCAATGATAAATACGAAGAAGTTACAATTTAAATCCTGCTGGTTTATATTGGTTAATGAAGAGCAAATGAAAAAATAAAAAATAAACAATAAGTTCCTTCCGTATGATAATTATGGTTTTATACAGTATCGATTCCGATAGATGATACTTTTAACACTTCAAAAGAATATTTTTTACGTATTGGACTTATCTTGAAAAAACCCGTTGACGATATATCTATTCACTAAAGGCTAAAAAAGTACAAATATTATTTCTGGCATTTGCTAAAGCCTAATTCATGAATCCGTTTAAAGTTTTTCGGGAAATTTATGATTTTTCGGTTCTCGAGGATAACTAATTATGATGAAATTATGCATCATTTGTTTTTTCCAGGCATTGCTCCGAAAGCGTAGCGCCCTGCATAGGAGAGTTGACACATAATGAGTTTAGGGTCTGGCATCCCACATTTAGATTCTGTAATGTAAAAGGAATTCATGGTAATTTGTTTCCACCAGGCATTGCTCGGAAATCGAGTTACCTTACATTGGGCAGTTGATTGCTTACACGCAGTTTAGTTGCGGTGTCAATTACGTTGGTCGATGTCGCGGTCATGCGGTGCAGCCTTCGATGACAGATGCTGCCGATGCATCGGCGATTACGAGCTCAATTGAAAACATTATTTATTCTGTATCGGATTATCCTCGCATTTACGATCATTCAGTGCCTTGCGAGCAAAATATTTTCATGATCGTAATGCTATGAGGTCCATGTCGTACTAGTTATCCAGTTTACGCGGAACACAGTTATCGTTTAGTGTCAATTTCCGTGTAATATCATTTTTTTACTATTCATTACGCAATCAGTCAAATGCCTCTCACCAACTGTTTTTTATGACACCGTGGCCAAAATTTCTGCATCGTGTGCAGCAAATCAATGTCTAGGGTCTGTTATATATAACTATCAGGTTAAACTGGCCTTGTCCGAGATCGATAACCCATACAATTTTAGTATCCCTTTTGTATGAGAAACTAACAAATTATAATTATATAAAAAGAAAATTGAAACTTACATGTTACTTCAAAATAAAACTTCTATTTGACTATTGAAACTTACATTTTATCTTGAAAATCCAACTTCTATTTGACTATTGCTGAATTATTCGAAAAACTTTTCATCTGACTTCCGATTTAAAATGATGCGTGCCAATCTGAAACTACTGTTTTGTTTTTCTTCTTCCGCTTCTGAAATGCCTTTCTATTCTCCAGTAAGAGTAAAATTTTAGGTCCAGGTAATATCTCGATACGATGTACATCGTTGATCCGCACCCAAAAAGTCCTTACATGTATATCTACAGTGTCAGACGACTTCTAACAATACAATATTCGCCAATTTCGACAAATATTTTAGATACGATATTATTAACATAAGTCGATGTTCATTTAATTTTAAAGTCTTCATTTATCACAGCGTCCTCCATTCATGATCTTGGATGTGCAAACCATCGGTTCGGAGCAGGTAATCGTGGGTCCTGGTGAGGGCTTCTGCATCGAGATGATCAAGACGCTGGCTAAAAAGTATCATTTTAAGTGAGTCAATTGAATGGATGTTAAGCTGATAAACAGAATAAGCGGTGAAATATGGTGGGTGAGTGTTGGTATGAGTATATATTATTTATAAAACTATTGAATTTTCAGCCTGTTTTAATAAAAAAATGTGGGAAATAAATTAGTTAAGTTCGCTTATCGCGTAGTTCTCATAGTATTTTCATCGTTAATAGCGCAGATTTCCTGTATACATTTTTGAGTTAATTATTTTACGGCGTAATACGTATAATCTGAACTAGCAATTAATAGGTTTAGTTGGAAAATTAATGGTAGAAAGAAAGTTCATACTGAATTCAGCTGCTATTCTTGTTTCGAACAGTTACACGCTGGAGCTTCCGTACGACGGGAACTGGGGTAATGCGATGCCCAACGGCACATTCAACGGCATGGTCGGCATGGTGGTGAGAGAGGTAAATATTAGGTAAGCCACAACGGCATGGTCGACATGGTGGTGAGGTAAATATTAGGTAAGCCAGAACGGACTATCACAAATGCCGTAATGACATATTAAAGAGAGGTGGAACTATAATGATTGTCAAAAGGGTGAAATGGGGTGAGCGATAACTATTGTTAATGCCATATTGATAGGGTTATGAGATCGGTAACTATTATAAATGCCACAACGATAATGAGGTGAGAACGGTAATTATTATGTACTTCAAAATGGTGACAACAACGTCTTCTGCTGGGAATCTTGGAATTCGATGGATATTGAAAGGCATGATTTGGTGTCGGTTCCCTCACTATTCGAACGTAACCCTGAAACAGTAGACCAAGAGCCTCGTAGAGTTTTTTCGTTAAAAATAATCTTGAATTTTAAACTAAAGGTATTCAATAATCAACGTAATTTTCAACGTACCATTGTAGTCTAAGCGGCAGTCCTAAACGGGTCGCATGCATGTCGATCGTAAACTTTGTTCATTTTCCATCAGATATAATTTATCGTAGTAATTAAGCGAAGAGGTATGAAATATTAGTAAATCAGGGCTATTAAAAAAAGTAATTGGATACCCAATAGTGGGCAGACATGGCGATGGGGAGCTTCACCATCACCGAGGCTCGGGAAGCCGTCATCGACTTCACGCATCCCTTCTACGAGGAGCCCACGGCCATCCTCATCCGCGCCCCTGGGGAGCGGCCCAACACCCTGGCCTTCCTGCAGCCCTTCACATACAAGGTACCGTAGTGCAGGTCTTCAGGTACCTTGAAGGTGAAGGCTGCCGGTCTTCTTTTATTCTATTGCGCCTTCACATACAAGGTGAAGGCTGCCGGTCTTCTTTTACTCGATTACGCCTTCACCTACAAGGTACCGTGATGCTGGTCTTCAGGTACCCAATTATGCCTTCACCTACAAGGTACCGTAGCGCAGGTTTTCAGGTACCCTATTACGCCTTCACTCACTAAGTGAGACACGTGCAGGTCGGTCTTTATTTAACTTTTTCTATATTAGACGAGTCACGAATTTTAACATTAGTAATGAACTAAAATGAGTTCATTAATATTGAGTTTTATTTAAGCCGACGTGTTTTTGCTAGGGTAGTTTCAAAATTTCATATATTCATCTCAAACCAGCAGAAGTACATAACGTACTATATTTTCAAATGAAAGCAACGTTGTATGTCTATTTGGTGACAGCTAAAAAATTCGAAAAATATTTCGGCTGACAAAATGGTTAGTGGAAATTCTGGTTTTAACAAACCAGTAATTAAACGTCTAATCAAATCTGGGATCCAGAGGTACGGACAAGTCGAACCTTTATTGACATATTGTTTCAATTTAATATCAAAATGTTGTATAATTGCTGGGTTCGCTTCTAATACATTAATATCACATTAAAAAGCGTGTTATTTTTAGATCTATATTTATTTACATGTTTGCATCCTCATTACAAATCCAAGTAATCGAGAACTTTTTCGCATTAAAATGCTTATTTATGATTTGAGCATAAACATTTATGACTTAATCTTAAAGAATTGCAGCTTATATAAATTTAAACTATGTTTAATTCAGAAAGTTCCTCTTTTAAGCCTCAATTTATGAAATAATCTGCCTAAATCATTACTTAATCTCAACCCCGCAGGTGTGGCTGCTGATCCTCAGCAGTCCGTGTGCGGTTGGTCCCTTGCTGTGGCTCATGACTGAGGGTACAGGCGACTGGTCGCCCTCACTCTACCCTCACAAAGGGCGCAGTGCGTCGGTACTCAACTACGTCTGGGGCGCAGGGTTCTGCCTCATTGCTCAGGGTATGCAGGGAAAAAAATTAGGATTTAGTAAGTGGGAGAGAAATGAATAATTTTGAAGGAGAATGGAAAATGTTATAACATAAAGAATGAATGTGCGCCAAATTGGCGTGTTTTTTTAAGATATTGTAATATGAGACAGAATTTTTCATGGGATGCCTTAATCACAATTTAATTATCAGACTATCTTGGAATTTATTGTTCAGAGAAAGTTGGAAGAAAACAGAAAGTAAAGTGAATATTAAATGAAGACGGGAAGCAGTCTTTTTATTTGTCATTGCGCATTAAGGACTTGCACAGCACAAATTTTTAGTAGTAATCATTTACTAACCGAAATCTTGGCCCAAATCCATGAATAGCGTAACTTTTAGAAATTGCTGGTTTCGTCAAGCCAGTGTTTCCAGAATTTTTATTCATTATATTAAAGTTGTGGATTCTATTCGTATTAATTAGATTTTTTGAGCATGAAGTTTGCAACAATGTACATTTTCCAGACGCATCGATTATTTTTCTGATCTCAAAGCGATATTTTCCAAATCTCACTTTTTTAATTTTAATTTTAAATCTCGAAAGCGAGATTTCGAAATTTGGAAAAAAATCTGGAGAGTTCGAGACTTGGAAAATCTCGAAATCTCGCTAAACAGAATTTCGAAAATTCACGAAAAGTCTACGGACATTAGAACCAGCATTTATGTACTTCATGTGTAAGTGTGTGAATCGGTGAGTCAGACGACAAAAACAGTTCAATTAAAATTAGGTAAAAATCCAGAATTACATAATTTTACGTGTAATTAGTAGTTTATTCTATTAGCAGAATACTCACTCACATAATTGTATAAATTTACTGCAAGGTTGATTGGCGGCTGATGGCTGCAGTTCATGCTATTGGAACAGAACTGCTAATATTATAGATGTTATTTAAAATCAGTAACTATCGAGGAATATCGATTCGTTCTACAGGTTATGAACTGCGTTTGAATGAGAGTAGCCGCGTGATGTTGGGTTTGTGGTGGACCTACTGCATGATTTTGATCTACACTTACACTGGAAACCTGATCGCCTTCCTGACCGTGCCGCGCTTGGCGGGCATCATACAAAGTCTCGATGAATTGGCCAATCAAAGAGAAATTCTCTGGACGTATCGAGCGGAGACAGCGCACGAAAAACTCTTTGGGGTTAGTCAACAAAATAATAAGTTGTGCTTTGTCTGTAGTATATTGCTGGAAGATTACGTAACAAGTTCCTAACAAGACATTTTTGTGCAAGTGTTTACACAAAGAGAGGTCTAGGAAGAACTTTTATAAGTATGACAAGTGTTATCCAACATTAAATAAAATATCTCGCCATGATCTCCCAGTTCATGATTCGAGTTCTTTTTTCATAAGGTTAACTGGCATTTCAAAGGAGCTAGTTTTCATAAAATTCCTTTTAATAAATGAAATTTTATGGCTTGCATAAGAGTTTAAGTTGTTCGTTGCTGTGAATTGATAAGTTTTATTTATTTTATATTTTTATGGTGAGCAAGCACATGAATACAATAAATATCAGTTTCTTTATTACAATGGTTGACATTAGCGAAAATGTAGTTTTGCATCATTATGTCTTATAAGGACGATTCACTGAATTTTATCCTTCTCTGAATGTGACTCTGATTTTATCCTTTTCTGAATTAATTTACTTATGAACCTTCTTCTCAAAAGATTTATGCGTTGTGGGTAATTTTGACGAGCGCTATTTTTGAATTTTCGCAATGTTGTTATCGATATGATGACTGCACGTTTTCGTTAAATGGGCTGAATTTATGGAATATTCTACGAACATTGGATTAGAACAATACAATTCATTTTGCTTAGAAATGTTTCAACAAAACTTTATTTTTTCGTTGGATTTGTTTATCCTATTTCAAGATTTCCTTAGTCTCATATATGTTTTATTTTCGATATTATTTGAGTCTGATATTTGTATGCACTCGTGTTTTTGTTATTATCGGAACAGGGTGCTGAGTCCGGAACTTATCGCAAGATAGGAGACTTGATGCGCTCAAACAGAGGTCTGATGGTCACGTCAGATGTTGACGGTATCAACGCTGTGCTGCTCAAGAACATGGCTTTCATAAAAGTACGTTAATATGCAGGTCATCGAGAGGTTTTTGCCCGCAAGATTTGGATGAAAAGCCAAATTAATTCACCTTATGTTCTATGAAAATGTTTGGGATACTATAGCTCCTTCTCAAAGACGTTTTCATGGGAGATATCGTGAATTTACCTGGCGTTTTCTTTGGTTCTAAATTTTTGTTGAACTTGCGATTAATAAGCTGACTAATGATACAAATACCTGACAAAGTGCAGATGAAGAAGGCTTGGAGAAATGGAGAAAGTCAAGGTAAATAGAGAAATTCTTGTGTTGTTGAGCTTTACTTACTAAGCCTGCTTTGCTGTCAAACATTGTTTGTGATACTCGTTTCTCATTTCCAAAAAAATTTTCCATGGAATAGTTTCACAGAACAGAAGCATTGACTGTTTTTTGTCAATATTTTGAATTTGTTTACTGAATGACACTCAGAGACTGTCTTTTAAGCCGCCATATTTGATATGAAGGTTAATGAAAAAATTCATTCATATGAGGAAAAGATTCTAATGATTTGAGTCGAATCGTCTTTTACATTGACATGAAAATAATTTTCACAAATACTTTTATCCCTACCGTAGTTAGAAAAATATAACTCAGTGCATAAATGAGAAAATGCGCTAAAAAGGTTTTCATGCTCTCTGAACTACAATTCACTTACCATACGCATTGTTTAGGTTAATTTTCTTCACTACCGGTACGTTAATTAATTTTCTTCACGTTAATTTTCTACACTCAATTTTATTGTTTACGTTAATTCAGGAGAAAAGTTCTCTTGACACGGCCATGGAGCAGGACTACTTGCAGACCAAGAAGTGTCGTCTGACGCTGGTGCCTCAGCTCTTCTTCAGCGCCTCCTTCGGTTGGGCGTTGCAAGAGGATAGCGTTTTCTTGCCTGTATTCAATGCCGAGTATGTATGATGTTCATTAAAATTTCCTGAATTACCTGAAAAAGAGCACTGGTATTAATAGCTTCTAAAATGTATGCTAGAACTTAAGAAGCAAGTAATTGGTCCTTTGAATTTACAGAGTCTGGATCTGGTTATCCAGGCAATAAGATATAGTTCCTGAAGTGTAAGTTCAAATGCGATGACTGATTTATAATATTTTCCTAAAACCCAAGCAGTAGGGCAAACTTTATCATGTTTTCATTATTAATCAAAAACAGATCAAATAACGTGTAGGAAAAATTAAAAATAAAACGGGGATATTTTAAAATAAACATACCATCTTGAATAGAACGGTCTCTTACAATTTTTTTTAAAGAATTGATACCAAAAATATTAATTACGCATATGAAATTGCCTTGTCGTGCGTCAGGATACTGCGGATGATGCAGTCAGGATTATTCAGGGAGTGGCAGGTTGAGTACTGGCCCAAGCCTAACGAGTGCACCGCGGTAAAGGACAAAGACGCTCAAGGACCGAGGCCTCTAAGGTTAGTTCAAAGNCGGAAAGGACAAAGACGCCCGAGGACCGAGGCCTCTCAGGTTAGTTCAAAGGCGTGAAGAAGCAGCGCGGTTAAGGACAAAGACGCCCAAGGACCATGGCCTCTCAGGTTAGTTCAAAGGCTAAGGTCTTTGAGCCCACTAATTCATTCATAGCTCATTACACGTAATCATAATTTTAATGTGGGTTATACTCGAGAGAGATAATTATTACCCCTGATATTTTAGTACCTCTTTATCATATGTCTATTCAGGCTTTCGCAATAGTTCTTAAATTAAGGTAACTTTGATAAAAGATAAACCTATATTCAATCATAATGTAACATAAATCCAGTGTGAACTTAAAACTGTGACCAATAAATTATAATTTCAAGGTATATGAAGGTGTGATATAATTCAAATTTTTAATCCATGTTTTGCGCTAATTAGAATTGAAAAAAATTTAATGCAAGAGAAATTTCTCAGCCAAGTAATATCCCGTACATAAATATAAATTGCTAGGTTTCGAAAACTCATTGTTATCCGATATGCTGTATATTGATCGAATAGTAAATATCATAATACCTCAAAACCTATTTACTATATACAAGTATATATTATTTTATATAAATATTTAATAACTTTAGGATAATAAATACACTGTTACCAGTACCAGCAAAAATAATAATGATCGGTAGCCGACCATGAGTTGACGATTCAATTATCTATACATACAAGGCCATGACATTTGTCGTTTAACATTTATAGAAGCAGTTCGAAGTGTAGGCTGTTTTTCTGTTTGCCCGAAGTGATTTGAAATGCTTGCACCATATCGAACCTGGTGGATTTCTAGTAGCTATTTCAAACTAACGTCTTTTTTGAAAAGATCCAGTCAAAAGACCTGTTTTTAGATCTCCTGTCACGAAAAGTCATGAAAAGTGCAAGAATCGGCGACAGGTCACATCAGGCCTATTTTTCAGAGCCAACATCACTATGATATTATATGATAAGTGATATGATATGATAGCTCCTATTAACATATAGAGTTTTTTATTATGTCCATTACTTATCTAAATGTTCAATATAGACAGCACACTACATCTGACAGTTACTATTTCCTATTTTTCCGACATTCACGTGCAATGCGCTCACATTTCTTGTTGCACCGCTGCAGGCTACGAGACCTGGGCGGGCACTTCATCGTGCTGGGGCTCGGCTGCAGCGTCGCACTGGTCGCCTTACTCCTGGAGCTGTGGTACCGCCGACGCTCCTTACCATGTCGTGGGTTATGAAACGAACCTGTAGCTCGAGCATCATTTAATTGGGGCTTGATTAATTAATTAATCAAGCATTAATTAATTATTAATGCTTGATTATTAATGTTGTTAATATTATAAATATTAATGCTTGAATTAATTAATTAATTAATTAATCAAGCATCAATTAGTTACATAATTAATCAATTAACATTAATTAGCACCAATTAATTAATCAATGAATATTAATTTGCAACCTAAATTTGGTGCATTTACACACAAAAGCTCAAGCATTTAATAAACCAACTGAGCCGCAACAATAAAAATACCTTATGCCTGTGTCTGATCATTGAATGATTGTACTACAGTTATCACCCTTGGAATACTTTAACTACAATTTTATTTGACGAAAATTTCAATAAATATTTGTAATCAATTTATTTTCGCAGGTCCTGCCGTTGAGGAGCCAGCGAAGCCTTCAAAGTACCGAACACAACTCGATATTCCGTTGGATATAACCAAGTGATTTTGAAAACTGAGTATTTTTCGTTGACAAGTCTACTGACTATTTGTTGCCTATTCAAACGCAGGCGAAAAGAATTATTATTACTCTAGCACAAACACAAAGAGACATGCAACTAGCATAAAATGTAAAAACATGAAAAAAATAATACAAATGGTCGGCATATTGTAGAGCCTGGTCTCCTCTCCGCGGCAAAAAATCATTGCCAAGGAAAATGTTCAAAACTTCGATAGCAACATCGATGCATCCGTTTCCTTCGCATAATAATTCGGCAGTACCAAACTTCTTAATTGTATATTTGAGTAAACGCATTCTAGCTTCAAACTGTCGTCTATATACTGAAGGAAAGGACATATATAATGAAAAATGTAATAATTTCCATCCGACCAAACAGCCTCTAGTTGAGAACTATTTTAAAATCAGGAGCGAATCACTAGTTAGTATCGTTCGGTGCGTGAACTTGGTATCATTGAATTTGAGCCAATTCAATAGTCGACCTCTCAAGTAACAAATTTTAAAATTAGGTTCGCAATTTAAAATAAGGTTCAATTAAATCTGTCTCACTGGCAGGTAATGAGAGTTAATAAAAACGACATTTGTTGCAGTTAAAAATACTAGTTGTATTTCCTATTAATTTGGATTCGCTTATTTATCCATATGATAAAGGATGACAATGTATTACACGTAAGTTACCACTTTATTGCCGATTTTGAACGATTTCTGAAAATATAATAAAATAAAAGGTGCAATAAAATACCGATACAGTTAAACACGAAATTATCGCACAATATTAAAAAAAACATTTGATCGCTTTATGGTAAACTCTTATTTTTTACAGCATATTGCAGGTAAAGTGTAATAACACACGTCGCTTGCTATTAGTTTGAACTTGGAGCTTCCTCCCTCAGAGACTCATTTACTTCTACATGGGCATTTTAAAGCAATTCTTACTGAATTATCTTCTTGAACTATGTGTTCGCAGTTCAATTAATAATTTTATTAAATTTAATTTTACCAAAAACAAAATCTAGGAACTCAAAAATTCATAGTTTATTTTGAAATTAATTTCGTTGTCTACCTGACGCACATCTAGAACGGAGAATAAATTCTCATTTCGAATCAGAATGGAGGAATATTTCCTGAGTAGGTTCATTTAAAATTTGCGGCTGCATTCTTCTGGAACAATTTTGTCGATGACATGCAGAGCAATAGCATAGGTAGTAACTTGACATCGTGATGAATGAAGAAGAAAAATGTTGATTTTTTAGTATTAACATTTAGAATGTGTTTGAATTTCGAAATGAATACATTTCGGAAAAACATCGCATAATGTTTGAGAATTTCTGAATCAAATCATGTTTTTCATTGAAATGTTGAGCTTGTCGAATCGACTATTTTCTCACATAAATATTTTACATATGGGCACATATCCCGGTATAAAAGGTACCATTATATTCAAGCATCTCTTCCGTTTATATGTATTTGAAAAGTTAAGTATCTATCACACTAAAATTTTAACGAGTCTGAATGTTGTGGGAGGTTACGAAAATGGCGGTAAATTTATAGAAAGCGGGTTAAGTTAATTATTTCCAGGATTCAACATCGGACTTCACGTAACTCGGGGAATTCCTCCATTTCCCAACTGCGCAGTATAGATTGCATAGTGGTTATTTTAGCCGTTTCAGAATTTAATTTCCCCTGAAAAAATGCATTATTAATGCCGAACATCACTTTACTCTCGAGAAATTAATTAATTTTTAACCGTGAAAAGAATCATCGAGTATCGTTGGAATGTATTCATCTGATTCGAATTTGTTAAAATTGGCGCGCGTAAAAAGTTGTTGGTTTTCCCCTTATTATTTAGAGCCGAGTCACCACAGTAATGTGGAAATCATTCGCCTGAAAGGTTTACGGTGCTAGAATATCTTATAACATGTTTACAGATCAAACTTGGCTGGCGCTAATGCGCTGCACTAATGACCGGCTACATTGTTTGTTCTGGATGAGAATTTTATCTTGCTTGACGTTCGTTGATTTTTTGGCTATTTACAGTCAAGTTATTCTGTTGGACTAAAATCATGGAGAATGTCCAAAATATTCGGTGTTAAAACATTGGTTCTTCATTCTAGTCCTGCATTTACGCTATTCAAATTAGAGTTAAATTCTTAGAAGTAACATGCATGATGATTTTTGATACGATATATTTGCACGGGTTTTAATCGCCTGAACGTAACACGTCAAAAAATTTCCCGAACGTTCGATTAAATCTTTTAGCATGTTTTTGTTTTATACAAATAATTTGGCGCCGTTTGTTTTTTTACCTAATTAGTGGGCAGTTATTTTTGTTTAGTTTATCAATATCAAACTTTTTAGAAACATCACAACTATTCATCTCTTGATCAATGTTTCATTCAAGAGCCGTTTACTTCTAAACTCTTCGTGAACCTGACCTCGTTTCACATATCATTCCAGTTGCATGACAAGGCACTGCAATGAAACGTTATGACTATATTTCAAATATTTTAGAATTAATTCAGTGAATTTATGTTGCAAGAAAATTCCAGGGTTCCTGCATCAATGTTATTTACAATTTAAGTACATTTCCGCCCGATTCAGAAATAAGTTTCAGTCTTGCTCAAGCCAATGCATTGTATACGCGCTGCGTCGGCGCAGCCCATAAAAGAAAACTGACTCTGAACTGCAACTGAAAGAAAACTGATAACTTGCCCGTCTTGCCAAGGTCAAGGCACAGAATCCAGCATTTGTGTGGGTACCTTCCCTGTAACTGTAGCGCTACACAGAGAGAGTATAATGAGCTCACAGTGTATAACAGATCACACAGATTACAGTGGAAATCACAGTCTGAAACGTAAATCACTAATTACCATTGAACATAAACTTCTTAGAGCATAAAACATTTGCTGTGGTTCACTCTAATGAAATCCAGGAACGTATACCACCAAAAAATATCAAAGGAACAGAAGGAAGGCGGCTTCAGCACAACCAACACGTGGAGCGGATGTGACACAATCAAAATGATAAGACGCAGAACAATCAATGCCTGCATGGTATGATAAGGTAGAACTGTCACTGACATCATTTGCGATTGTTGCGAGAATTTTACGTTGATTAGAATGCCTAAATATCTAACTAACATAATCCATTATCAAGATCAAAATATGATTTTATTCCGTCATTAATTTTTTAATCAAGAATTTGACTTGACTATGTTCAAGATTTACAAATAAATTTCAATGCTACCAGTTAAATAAGGCTACAGCAGTGACAGTATGTCTTGAAGATGCCGCGTCAGCTGCTACATTAGACAATAATTCATGTTTGGAAGGACTGCAGGGAACCGCACTAATACCCGTGACCGAAAAACCGAAGACGGCTATTAGTGTGAAAGTGTTAAAAAGAACGGTTATTATTACTAGTTACATTAGTGATTATTAGTTGTGAGGAAGAACTGTGCCGAAGAATAGTAAAGATACCAATTGAGAAGAATCACATAGAATGTCCTTCCAGACCCAGGTTTTTTAAATCGAAATTTCCGCGAGTTTAAGGTTTTAGACATTACACAGCCATTTATTGACCGAAAATAGATATATTTTGGCATTAAGGTTTCATCTAAGCGATAAAATTCGCCTGAAATGAAACATTAATAGAAATCTGTACATTTTATTTCACAAATTAGTATCATTGACAGTCGTTTTATAGTTCCGTGCAATAAATAACCATCAGCTATGTCATTGGTGTAAATAATTTGATTACCTTTTTCTACAAAAATCTATAGAGTTTCAAGATGCATAAATAAGCCTTAATTTTTTAAATTTTGGTTGAAGGAAAACAATTATTAAAGATCAGTGATATATTTATAACAAAAAAATAGTGGAAAAGAAGGCAAAATCAATTGCTGTGAACAAATAAAAAATTCTTATTTGTAAGAGCTGACCTGAAACCAAATAAAATATTTTGCGACATGATGAAATCTAAATGCATTTCTATTAAAAAAACACGATAAAAATGGTTCAAAATCTGATCAGACTAAGATTTTGGTGTCTTCGCCAAAACAAACTGCTGTAAATTATTGCACTAGATACAATTATTCTTGCAACAGATACAATTGACGGGAGGAAAAAATTTCATGTTTTAATATCGTATTTCAGTTAGTTTCTGACGAGTGAAGCACCGCTAAAGTGACCATGTGACAAGTGTTGAAATAAGTTTGTGTCGCGGCAAGGTCGCTCACAGGTATACTAGGATGAGGGCCACCACAGCAAAAACTTGCACTGATTTAACAACCCGCGTTTATGTTACCTGAGCGGTCAAGTCGAGGAAGGTCACGTTCAGGCATTCCCAGCGTTCTTTTTTTTTGCCATACGCGAATCTCATTAATGTTAATATTTGATCTGGCATTGGAGTGTTTTAAATGTTGTTATACAACCAGGCTGCAATTTTAATTTGAATAAGGTTCTGCATTTTTCTCCCTACCGAGTAGAAATCACATGCTCCTTTAATTTTTATACAGAATTTAACATAATAAAGAGACCAGAATTATTCCCGTCATAAACAACATTAACAGCTTATTGCTGATTAACTGGCCGATTACTTAAGGGGACCGGCTAAGCTCCGGAAAAACTTCTTCAGTTATTATCCGATTATCATGAAACTTCACATACATACGTAAAATGTAAAAATAAAAACATTTTACTTCTATGAATTTTTCGAAAAAATTGATAGAAAACGTGAAATTCATAGAAAACGGCTAAAAAGGGGTACTTCACACGAAATCATTTTTCGACGCACAGGGATGATTCTGGTACCGTTGAATGCGTTGAAAAGTGAGCTTTAAGATGAGCCCAAAAAGTGGAAAACGCCAAAATTGAAAATTTTAGGTTAGCCGGTCCCCTTAAGGCGTCTGTCGATGGTCAGTCACAGGCAGTCATCCTGCGAGGTCATGCTTTTGGCTTCAGACAATTCTTTCAGTGCTCGGTTGATGATGAAAATTCTCACTTTGTGCGGAGAATCGTAACCGTGTTTGAGTAATGGTTCAGGGATGTCGTAAGGAGACGGGTTCATCCTCACGAAATAATTTGGAAGAAACTTTCTGTCGATGCGAGTTCTTTCATAGTCATGAAAACCTCGTGGGAATTTATTTTCAATGCCTCTTTCTCTGCTGCATAACTTTGCGTTTTTGGGAGGCACGGAGGACTTAGGAAATCCAATCGGAGACAAAAATTGAGGCGCAGGGTCTGATCGTGATGATGCCAGAAGTTTCATTTTGGAAATCGAAAGACTCGACGATTTCGGAGATTCTGTAATGGGAGGAGAAGGTTTTGGGCGATTTGATACGGATGAAGGTAGATGGTTCGAAGCAGACGATTGTCTAAAAACTGCCTTGAGAGGAGCTCGGGATATCGAAGTACGGTTAGGGGTGACCTGGGTTTTTCGGCGTGAGGAAGAAAGAGATTTGATCACGACAGAATCGGTGGTCCTGGAGTCCGCAACTGAGGGGAGAGAAGCAAAAAGTGTATGAGAAATGAAATTATTCGATATACCTGATCCTACATGAACTGGGTTCGTAGATGTTGATCCAGAGTACAAAAATTTACACGTGCAAGATTTATTGCTATCGTTAGGATGAGTAAGGGTTGATCTTTGGTTATCGCTGGTATGATTTACTGATTCTGGGGAAGAACTCTTCTCCATATGTAAGGTAATGAACGCTCTTCCAATATCGTGATATTAAATACAATACGAGCTTTTTTGTTAATTGCAATACGAGGTTGAGGTTTTTTAAACTTCAAAATTCAAATAATTGTGGGAATTTGGCAGATAAATAATCATAAAGTAAACTTCAACTGTAATTCGTTACATTGATCATATGTTTGAAACTTGAAAGCGATTTATCAATATCAATATTGTATACATATCATTGGAAAAAACTGCAAATTGATAAATATTTATTAATCATTATAAAATACATTGATTACGACAATTCGGAAATTCATGAAAATCGATAATCTTCAATCTTTTAAAAAATTTAAATTGATACACTCACGTCAATAGCAGCTGGAACTGCCACAACACCTGCATTGTTCGAGTGCGCGACTTGGACCAGCGGTGCCCTGACCCTTGTTTCCCCTCCTCCAGCCAACACGGATACCAGAGAACCATCCTTCGCTCCCGGTCTTGGTGAGTTGCCACCCACATCCAAATCGAGGATTCCCGGAATATTGACTTGGGTTGATGGCCGTCCAAAGCCGCCTCGATTTGTGGCCACGGACACCAATGATGGTCCGCTGTTGGTAGCGCCGGTATTGAGGCCTAGAATGCCTGCAGGAAACATTAAATACGTATAAATTGCCACTATGATTAGTATGAATAATTTGTTTGTAATTTTTTTGTGTCTGCATCCAGTTTCAGTGACGAATTTGAGCAGCATTGAAAAAAATATATCGTATTATTACTCAAAATGACAGTATAAGCGAATTATAAAATTATTAGAACTTAAGACACGTGGGCATTGTGTTGGTAATGGTTCAATATGACAGAATTTAGTGTAGCTGCTAGTGTTTAGGTTTACAACATCGAAGCAAGTAGGCGCACGCTTTGGCGAAAGTTAAAAACATTTGCCTGTCAGTTTCAAAATAGATTAATCTCAAATCGATACTTTAATCAGGCATTAATTAATTTTTAAAACAGATTTTGAACTCGGATCAAAATTTGTTTCGCTTCGCTTAATACAGTTTAGAATAAAACTTGAAACAAACCTAGATTTATGGAATGATATTAACCTCGAGACTATCACCGGCGTAAATTTTATGATTAGTTGCGATTAAATGCTCGAAATTTCGGTACCTGGAATGTCAATGACGGGACCATGATTGTTATCGATGGCAACGAGAGGAACGATGCCACTGCGCGTGTTGCCGCTGCGAGAGTTTCCTCTGTTGACTGGAGAACAGGCGTATTAGTTAGCTCAAGTATTATGAAGTGCTACTTGTAGCGTTGTTTTGTTAAAAGTTTTATAGAGGTAAATCTAAAGCTGACAACACTTGTATTCTAGAAGAGTACTTAGTTGATGATTGTTCTTTCGATGATTATATCTTAAAAATATTTTTCCGAATGAAAAAATATTCTTTAATTCTAAGCAAATTGCATTTTATTAGATAATGTCATTCTGCGGAGATAGGATACATTTTTAACTTACAAAGACTGTTAAAGAAATTCTCGATGGCATGGCCGATTGTCTGGGCAGAACGCTCAATCTGAACGAAAGGGTCTGCAGGCCGAACTTCCACCCCAGGACCTCTATTGACGACAGCAACTACAGGTATTTGGTCGCCGTTGTTTGGTAAATCTGTGGCCGAGGCTGCAGGAGGAACCAACATAACCGCCACATACGCCATCGCCAAAAACAGCGCATGCGCTCGGATTGTTGATGTTGCCATCTCGTAAAACAACTGAATGAGAAGGGAAAATTATTTTATTAAATTTTTCTTAATTTTAACACAAGGTGAATTTTATATAAAAATTTTAATGAATTAAGTGTTATCTAAGTTATCTAATTTTTATATTTCATTTTAAATAAAAAATTGTCATGAATTCCGTATTGAGGCAGTCGCGGTTGAGCAATGTCACGAGGCGGGCGTGCGTGCTGCGCGGACTCACAACGGGCCTTGTCACTGTGCAGGTTTAACTATATTTATGCATTTTGTGCTGAAGCGTTTCAGTGAAGAGACTGAAATGAAGTCAGTGAAGGAGAACGCGAATAAAGAGTGGATCAAGCAAAAAATGGTTCCTGTTTTTCTTAATGAAAAACGCGGGCAGGGTAGTAAGTGAAGGCACAGTGTTCTATGCGGCGTGGCTTTCATTTAAGACTAATTTTTCCTGAGCCAGGCTCTGCAACTTTTACCCTGCTTCTCCGTCCACCTATAGCCTGCCCCCACATCTCCTCAACTAACCCTTGTTCTCCTTCACTCAGCTGCAGTGCTCGAGTCGAAATTTTCGACGGAACTCCAATCAACTCAATTTAGTTTTAAACTTGTGTTTTTCTCAGTGCATTGCACGCTGGCCGGACAGAGAAGTAAAAAGGTAGTCGAAAAGCCCTCTAGTTCCCAAAGACAAAAGGCCAAATCAAATCAGCTCAGTTAGAGATGAAAGTTTGCAAGCACTGCAAAGAGATATGTGAGCGAGGTAGATCACTCGGTCACCTGTAAACGTTGTGAAGAGATTTTATTTGTATCAGCTGATCGAATTTGAGCTATGAGAAGTAGTACTCATTTCTCCAGGATAATTGATTGCTTCATTGGTTATGTCATGACTTCGAAAAACCAACTCTTTGTGTGCAAAAAAGCGGGAAGCCGGTGAAAGAGCATGGCAATTCAAGATCACTATGCAGTGAGCTTACTGTAGTGAAAGCTCAGCTGAAAAATTACGGAAAAAATGGAAGTGAAAAACCAGAGAGGTGATTTATCTGAAGTCGATAGCGAAAGCTCCCGCGAATTACTTGACAGAGACCGCAGGAAGTCTAACCTAGTATGGTTTGGTATTACCGAAAGTGCCGAATCTGATACGAAAGATCAAGCGATGGCAGATACTGTATTCATTGCAGACTGTTATAGCAAACAACTCAACACACCGGTTGATATTACATCGCGCAATAGACTACACTCGAAGGATACTGCTGCTTTCAACACCTGCAGACCTCTCTTGGCGACTACAGGATCTTGCATAGATTTGGAGTGTGCTGAAGGCAGCCAGAAAGCTAAGAGTACATTTGTTTTTATCGAGAAGGATTCTATCTTCTTTAGAGAGAGAGCGCATTTTCTCAAGAAATGGCAGGAGAGAATCAGGCGGAGAAGCACGGCAAATCAGGTCAATCACTTCCAAGATGTCAAGATAACACCGGCCACACACGTACGGTCAGTCAGAGGAGCTGGAAGACAAATAAACAATATAGGTGTCATGTCCATAGATCCAGGCCTGTAAATAATGTAATATGTAACCTCAGACATCAAAGTGAATGTGCAAAAAAGTTTTAAAATGTTTTTACATGAACTGAGATTCCGTTTTGAACAAATACGTGAACTGGTAACTGTGATCGCATACGAGTGTATAGACATTATTTGTGTTACAGAAACACTCCATAAAAATCACAGGTGGAAAATTGTACCTGCTGAATTTCAGTTGCCAGGTTTTGATTGTTTTCATAACTTAAACAAAAAATAAAGAGCAGTGAAATAGAAGTGTAGCTCTGTGGGTTAGAACCTTTTATGCGGCCCAGCAAGTCAAATTATCTGCAGAGCACCAATCAGCTAGAGAAACAGCGTGCTGCGAACTTTCTTTAAAAGGCAGGGATAGCCTCCTCATAGGCGATGTGTATAGATCACCAAACAGTTCCTCTGATAATGATAAATAAGTACTAAACAGCCTTTTACCGAGCATGACTTTCAGTAGGTCGCATAAGTTGATCGTTGGAGACTTTAAGCATTCAGAAATAGACTGGATAGATGAATCCTCTCCAAGAGATGGAAATCACCTAGCATCCCTGTTCTTAGCGTCTGTGCGAGATTTATTTTTAATCCAAAATATCATCAAGCCAACCCATTTTAGGGATAAACAGACCCCAAATATTCTAGGCTTACTGTTTACTAGTGAAGAATCAATGTTAGATGAGCATCGCCACGAGGCTCCGTGGGGCAAAAGCCTCCTTCATCACCAATCATTGTTTTTCAGTAGTAGGGGGCTACAGATAGAAGACACCTTGAAAGCGTGAACGTTTGAACTTTGCGAAAGGCGACTATGATAAACTCCGTAAACTCCGTGATGCAGTGAGTGCGGCGAATATTTCGGACTGCACCAAGGACATGAATGTGGCTGATTCATATCATTTCTCAGAGACACGGTTAAGTCTGCAGTTGATGCGTGAGTGCCTAAGATGAAGCTCGGGGAGTCAAAAAGTCACAATGGATGAACCGTACAGTTTTAGCCAAGCTAAAGACCAAGAAGGAAGCCTGCAAGCGTTATCTAAGGACTCGTAGCGATACTGATTATAACCTGTATGGTAGAGCTCGAAACCAAGTAAAAGAAATCTGTCGCACCGCAGTGAAAAACTTTGAAAAAAAAATATTGCCAAAAATGTAAAAAGAACCCGAAAGCTTTCTTAAGTTATTTGTACGTTTGTACGAATTGTAAGACAAACGACGGTATTTATGATTTTAAAATAGATCAACGATAGATATCCTCTAATGAGAGCAAGGTTAAGAGCTCATGTGACACCATTCATCAGTCTGACAAGTGTACGTAATGGAATTTGTTGTGAGGGAGAGGATTATAATTATCGATCACTTGACTGTTAACCATCTCCTTTCAGACTGTCAACATGGCTTTATTGCCGGTAGATCCTGCACCACTAACCTCTTGTGTACTTTAAACGATTGGACTCGCCTGTTGGATAAAAGGGAGCCAGTGGATGCAGTGTACCTCAATTTCGCAAACGTTTGACAGCATTCCATATGAGCGGCATTTGCATGAAGTGAAGTCTTTGGGAATAGAGGGAAATGTACACCAATGGATCTGATATTTTCTAATAGGTAGACGACAACGTGTCAGTATTAACGGAACCGTGTCAGACAATTGAGCTGAAATTTTCTAAGCATGTTGAAACGCAAGCTAATAAATCCAATAAATTCGGACTGATCAGACGCGCTTACGAGTTCCTAGATGCAGAAGCGATGAAGCAGTTGTTTGTTGCTGTCGTGCTCCCGAACCTAGAGTTTGGAAACGCCGTATAGACAACGAAACTTGATAAGGACAAAATTTAGTAGAGGGTGTTGTAAGACGTGCAACAAGGATAATTCCAGGCTTAAAGGGCAAGTCTTAATTATTAAAAAAGATTAAAGATCATGAAGCTTCCAAGCCTCAGTTATCGACGTCTGCGTGGGGACCTCATTGAAGTATACAAGTATAGTATGGTTTATACAAGGTCCCAGAAGGATTACTTGAATTTGAAGCAAGAACCAGCATGAACCAGGGGCAACGGCTATTAACTAAAAAAGACTGCGTTTCAACTCATCCACGCGACAACACTTCTTATCGCTTCGAATCATTGACATGTGGAAAAGCCCCCCTGATTACATCGTTGACGCCTCGGGTATGGATGAGTTCATGAATAGACTGGATAAAGTTACGGAGAAATACATGTTCAGACTTGAAATGCCAGCACCATATCGAGACTGGTAGAAGTCTAAAGGCTATTTCAAACAAATGTCTGCTTTGAAATATGACGATAAATGCACATCTTTGATGAATCAACATAATAAATTATAAAATGAATGTAAGGAGGAACACGCTATCAGAAAATTTTTGAATAAAATAATTTTATTCATATTAAATTTTTTTTCAAAATATTATAGTTTTTTTAAAATTGTTTTAAACATTTCAAGGACGAGGAAAACAATTTAGTAAAAGGACGACTTTCCACTAGACTGTAGCTCAGTCAGATTCACCAATGGTCAGACTCCCGGCTCCTCTGGATTTTTAACGGAAGGAACAACAAAACAGGAAGAGGAAAAAGTTCAGTTTTTATATTCGCTACAGGAAATCGCGGTTCTCCTCCATCCTCCTCGACATTATTGATGGTAAAAAATTATGTGCGTAAAGAATTAAGAATGATGCTATTTCAAGGCACGCGGGCTAACTTAGCTTTCTAATTATTAGAATATTGTTATTGAATTGTTGGATGAGAGAACGTGCCACCTTCTAATTTTATTTAGACTGAAGTAATGAATGCCTAAACAATTGGGGGAAGAGGGTAACGGATAGCAAGAGAAAAATTATTGATGATTTTATTCAGCACACTTCGAGTTTCCTGCGGTCGTTACAAAAAATTACGAATGTGATGCGCTTCGCTGGAAACTTTAATGCCCAGTGGTAGCCGTCAATACTTTGCTGCATGAACAGGATGTGGAGGCTTCACATAAGTAAGTATAATTTCCAGGTGAGGACGTGGAGTTTTTTTTCATGTTTTAGAAGCGACTTTGTTTATTTAATTGGTTTAAAAAATTCTGCTTTATTCGGAAAATACAACAATAAAAGAATCAATAATTTCAATTGGAACATTTCAGTTAGATAGATTCTTACTGCATTTGGCAGTAGAAATCATTTTGCAGACCCCCAACAAAGACAAACATTTAGGTCTAAAAATTCTTAGCCTTAGTGGAACATGAAATGAAAATTCGTAGTTAAGTGATTAAAAAAAAACAGAAAAAATTAAATTTAACGCATGGAATCCCACTGTGTCGTCTCGACCATTATTTGCGTCATCCAGTGCGCCGAACGGATCCTACAACGTCCCGAGTTTCGTTTCTTACGACTATAATCTCAGGTCATAAGGGAGAATTTTTCAAGTTTCTAAATTTCAAGGGCAGATACAAAGTCAACTTTACAAGCACTCGGTAGAGGGAGACAAGCGACTCATGAGTTGGCGGGCTTACCTCAGATGGACTGACAAGGTCGGTTGGATCATTAGGTGTGTTATTAAAGCATCGAGAAACAAAGCTTTATCGCCTCAAGCACTGCAAAGACTGAGCGCCCTTCCCACATCAGCTTATGACATCGTCATCGTTCGCATTTGATTCATTTATTCTGAGTGGCGATGCTTCGATCGCTTCTGGCGTTCCTAGACTGATGCTAACGTGCTACTGCGGATGCAAATGGTCATTCTCTTCACAATGGATGCATTTTGTTATGTTTGCCAGTAATTTTACTTTCAATAATGAGGTCATTAGTTATATTTTTCGCTAATCGTGAGTCATTACACTTACATTTACTAACTCAAACTCATTACACATTTTTTTGGGTTGTGGATTGCATTTCACTCTTATTCGGGCGGCAGCAAATTTTTTTACGACTCTTTCTTTGTTCGTAACGCATTGCCAAGTTACTTCATTACTCCTGCTAATGAATAGCACCAAAATGATACCCCTGTAGGAGCTCGCCGACTTAAATATATTTCATGACACACAACAATTGATTATATTAATTTTTAGGAGCAATTTTCACAGAAAAATTATTTCAAATATCACAATGAACTACAATTATATTTCACAGCATCTCGATAGTTCTCGAGACGCCGATACAAACCAAAATTAATTATAGGAAAAGATTCCAGTTCAGCCTTGCATTACCTTTATATAAGCTTCAAGGCCCGGGGCGCGCTCCCTTTAGCCTCATATGAAAATACTTCCTGGTGTCGGCCTTTTTTATTCACCCAAGTTTTATGAGAATTTGCGTTCTAACATTGAGTTTGTCGTAACACCCATCACTGAACTTCTCTTTAAGCTTGCAATTTAATTCAGTAGCATACATTATATGGCTTTGGCAACAAAAGTTAATTTATACAGCGTAGAGGAGTAAGCGTTAATTGAAGATTGCACATGAGATTTTAAGGCAATTAATCTGGGACTGTGAGAAAATAATTGGGGTTGGCAGTGAGATTGAGATACTACCTGTGACTTAGAGGCAAAATTAAAGATTTAGTGCGAGAGTGCCAGACAATCTATGTCTCTAAGACAATAATGAAGAATTGAAGATTGACTGTAAAATTGAAAAAATTGAATATTAAGGTCATAGTTATTTAGATTAAAAGAGCCAATACGACAACCGCGCCCCCTGAATATAAGGTGTATTGGCGACATGACGATGCAGCACAATATCATCTATGAACATAACTTTTTTTTTGAATAAAATGCATAAATTTGTAATCTATACATTTTTCAAGACCATTTAGCTGACGTGGTAGCGCAATTATTCTTGTTTAAATAAGAAACTATATTGAAGTTTAGTTGAGACTGAATCGATAATGCATCATTTAAAAATTTCAAGTTCATTTCGAAAATTTCCCGAAACACATTTGTGCTTAAGAACAACATGCATGGGAATGCCGAGCCGGCAGGCTGCATAGAACAGGTTTACAGCGGGAAGGCTGCATGACTTGAAAACAATGCAATGCAATATGTATGTCTTAGGAAGACCGGTTTTTGCGGCCTCTTATAGCCTGGGTTTGTATTCTGGCAAAGTGCAGAAGACGCTTTACGGGACTTACTGAAGCTGTTGCGTAAAACGCGGACATTTTCCATCTACAAGAGCTATATAACAAAGAGTTTCCTAATTTGGTCCGAAATTGTCTCATTGGACATCATGCTGGATTTAAAAAAAATTATTTCATTCGTGTTATGCTTTAAGATGAATTACTTACCGTGAATTACATCAATATATTATGATATGTAGATGAGACCGAACCTAAATATGAATGCAATTCGGGGGATTTTTAGTTAAACGCAGATTCAACATAACCACTTATTTGTATCAAGTTACTAACAGATTTGGAATGATTTAGGCATGTGTCCTTATTGCGTTGATCTTTCAGGTACAGGTAGCACGCCCGATTTGAAAATTATACATTGTTACGTAAAGGCTTTCAATCGAAATGAAACTGTTCTAAAAGACTGTCCTATAACATACAAATATTTATATTACGCAAACAAAGGAAGATTCTGCTTTAGCTGTCGGATTCTTTATTGTATAATAAAAAGTTGAACAATTCCTGCAAAGTTTATATAATAAATATTAGGTTAATTTAATATTAAGTAGCGAGTCTATTCACCTGAGTGTTGCAGGTTAAGTGTCGCAGGGCCGCTGTATCTGTGACACGTTCACCAAACAGCGGGCAAGGCGAGACTGAAGAGGCACCCGCATTGCCTGTCTTCCAAGACCTCCGAGCCTGAGAGACGAGCATGAAACTCCGGAGTCGCTTGACCGGATGTTTAAGATTGGGGTAGTAGGAGAAATTGCAACGTTGGTAAAAGTTGAGTAAATGAAACTTTAGATTAATCTTCAGCTGTAGGAGATTGCTATTATTTTAATGTTTCATGGTTACTTGGATAGTCGTTTTCAGCGGGGCAGAGCTGTGTCATTGTCTCACGTGGAGGACAGATGTCGACGACGAATAAAGAATTGAACAACGTAACGTAGGAGTAAAAAAATATATTGATGCACACGAGAGACTGTAGTGGTATGAATGGTAATGGAAAATTTTCGAACAATCGCTGATAATTTTGAGGATTGTAGTTTGAGGCGTATACTTAACTCCGAATTGTAGTACTCTATAGAAAATAATTTATTTACTTATACTTTCACTCCGTATGTTGTTAGAACATTTTTTATGTTATTATTAATATTGATTATATTCGTCTAAATGGTTTTACGTTCGATTATATTATATTGCAATAAAAATTTAACGTATGTTTATAAATATGTATTTTCATCCTGTAAAATATCACGAAAGAAACTTCATACTGTTTTGATTTTAACAAATTCATAGCGAATACAAAACAGAATCTTGCAGGTGCTGCAGTCTCAGATAGAAAAGTTGGATTGAAACACGGTGCAAATTTGTATCAAGAAACCATAAACGTGTCATTCAATGTGGGCATTAAAAATTCCATTATGAAAAATGACACACGCTGATTCATGAAAATGAGCTTAAAGTATACTATTATAAAGTTTTATTAACTAAATAAAAGTATCGCTAGCGAGAAGAAAAAGAGCTGTTTTTGGCCACTTTTATCAGTTGAGCGGTAAATTTCTCGTTTTCTTAGGTACTTCTGATTTATTCTAGGAGCGCACGCTAGAAAACGGGGATTGTAGGTCGAGGGAAGGGTCAGCGAGAGCCAAAGCTTGTTCCGCGAATGTGTCCGTGAAAGAATGTTTTCTCCTGAGACAAGAGGTTGACGCATACAGAAGCGATAAAGTTTGTGATAATTAATAGATTCCGATTCGTTCTCTGTTTTAATTTCACTTAATGTGGATTTATGTGGTACTAATGTGGCCAAATTCGTAACATTGCAATAGGGTCTGTAGCTAACCTCACACATACTGACTTGGTGTTGCTAATCGCTGATACATCGCTTGAACTAACCTATTGTGTTCATTGGTTTTAGAAGGTCGGTCGCTTGTATTGTACGTTAAGTTGAAACTATGCGTATTATTATTTCTCCTACTTGCCAACTACTTCATGCCCCTTTTCAGTGAAGCAGGAAACCATGTCTTCTCTATGTCGCCTCTGACCAGATTTTGAGCACCTAGTTCTAATGAACTTACAGCATTACAAACTCGAATTAGGAATTTATTAACAATATAGTGCCTCGAGCGCTGAAGTTAAGACAATGTCTGTTCTGTCATACATTCGAGACATCGCACAATTCTTATCTAACCCAGCAACCTATCTAAGTTTCGAACCCACAATTCACTGCTCCAATTGTGATGCTCTTAATTAACAGCTTTGCCATACAGTTGCCCGGCCACCAAACACAACGAGAGAAACGAAGTAGAATTAGTAAACACTATATCGACACCCAATCAGAAATTTGAATTAATTATATGTAGTAGGAAAATATTGCTTTCTATAAATTTTTCACTCACACTTAAAAAAAAATTTTCTGCAGTTCAATAATAAATGAATGAATTGAAGGTTGACTTCAAAACATAGATGCAAGCCAAAAATAAGAGACAAAACTGAAAAATTTCATTTGTGTATTATCACAACAATCATCCCTAGAAGATATTATTTGAAAGAAGGAATTTAATAAAAAATTTTGATATAACCGCTCAGCTTAGTGAATCTAACATGTTACTGAGAATCTGTAATTGTTGGCTTACTTGGGTAGGCTAGCCAATTTAAATAATTTAGCCCGCTATGATTGTATCGTAGATCCGACAAATCCTTGCCAATTCGAAACAACTGTCTGAATAGATAATATAACCAAAATTATTTTTTGGCTTTTAAATGAATGTTAATATTTTCAATTGTTGTTTTTCTGTGCATTATTTCAATAATCCTGATACAGTATCCGATAAGAAGATCTTCTCCAAGCTAATAATGAAGCCTTGCACATAAGAATAGGCAACGGGAAAGTTGTTAATAAAATTGTGTGTCATTTTTATTAAAGAAGTTACAGAGCAAATATTGGTTGACATCTGCAAATATTTTATAGATAAAAGAAAAGCCGTTTATTTGCGGATATTCATCTCCCACGAAACTTAAAAAAAGGAAAAGAGCATTCGGAGAATCGAATGCAATTACCTATGAATATCAGGAATTTATTTATTATTTATTTGATAACGATATCAAATAAATTGAAACGATCTTGAGCATCAAAAATGACAACCAGTCGTCTTTTTTTAATCGGCTTGAAGTTTAACTTAACGAAATCTAAGTTTTATTGTATGAGAACATGTGGACAGGTAAATTGAGCATCAATACTTAACCGATTAATTTCTCTACTATACCTACGCATTGCTCGCTGCAAAGCAGTTTCCACAGACATTTGGGCAGATTTGAAATCTGTAAAGCTCTTCTATACCCACCTGCTTGGGAACAGCTGTTTGGTACTTAAATATATAAAAATTATCATCTAGGAAGTTTTTTATCATTTCATATTTGTTTTCATGTTTTTAATAAAAACAATTAAGTGATGAAATGAACGTTGATCAAGTCCCGAAAGCTTGAAAAATCTTAAACATAATTCCTGTGCTTTCTTCTTATATCATTGTCGATGTATTCATCATTCAAAATGAATCTTTCACGACAGATAAATTTGTCTTATCAGGTAAAATCTGCTTTTCGTTGACATCATCATCATTGAGTCGTAGCATCTCTTCTATTTGCTGTTGACGAACTGAACCCTATCAGTTTAGCCCGAATCACCTTGGAATTTCCAAAGTTCTGGCCACTCTCAGCGGCAGTATTCTCAGCCACATTATCGATATTGACCAGATTATTGTCCGTTGAGCCTAAAGTTCCAGATGCAGATGTACTACCCGATGTAATTATAGCTGTAGAATTCACTCCCGATGCTGGAGAAATAGAGTCAATGCTGCGACTGTTCGAAGTGCGAAGGGTTGCACCTGAAGCCGTCAAGGAAGGCACGACCTCGTTGGTTGAGGGGTTGTCAAGATCAGCGAAGAAATCGATATCCGTGTCTGAAATGAAACATCAAATTACGTTTACATTTATGGGGCTGTAGTATTAAAAAAACTTATTTTTCAAGATGAATACCTTAAGAGAAATATCAATGGCAAGAACGGCAAGAATTTAGAGGGTCTAGCCTGACGAGATCGGTCAGTTTATTGAATGCGATTGTAAATGCACGAAAATTCAACCTGATTAATTAGTTTACTATTTGCCTTGAATTGTCTGATCAAATACCTTAATGCAATCATCACAAGCTGCTGAAACACCAAACTAAGAAAATAACACAATTTTTCGTCTCACCAGATGGGTCCACGCCGAAGGGATCGAAATCAGCTAACTCGCTTTCTGCCGCTACTGCGTCGAGATTGCGATCGTCAGAGCTTTGGTCGCGGTTTGCTGGAATGAGAAGGGCGTGTCAGTATGGAAAATATACAATAGGGTTATAATTCGTAGTAAACTAATTATATCAGTAAATATATAATTTTAGTAATATACAATAGGCATATAATTCGAGGAATAACTGACCCGTCATTCTAAAACGTAGGAAAGTGCAATTTGATGCGATGTTTTTAAATCGACGTCTGGATGTTTAAGATAAAAATTTTGGAATAAACCAATTGTGCACATTCATTTTTACGTTAATTAAGAAATTACGCTTGGATTAAAAACCGGTCACATAAGAATTTTATCTTAATTATTTTCAAATAAAATTTATTTCAAGATTCATGTGGGTTTTTTTTTTTAGAAAAAAGTCTTAATGAACGATTAGCCTTCTAGTGTCATAATTAGGCATAATGTCAGAATATAAAGCTTTTCTTTACTGAGAGATTATTGGGATGCTAGATGAGAGGAGTGAAGATTAATTAATGCAATACAATACAACAACGTGACAACTTGAAGACTCTTCTGATGCATACAATGAAGGTACAGTGTATGGATAAATATATTTTAGTTACTGTTTCGATGAATTATTGCTAAGGAAGTGAGTGAAAAAAGTTGGCAGCCTGACCTCAGCACCAATAAAAAAAGGACACTTTTAACCTTGTACCGCCTGATGAGTAACCGGAGCAATATTGTCACAAGCCTATATATACTTCCCAAAAAGGATACGTTCTAGTGAGCGAAAAATGACTTGCACGGATGGTTGCCGCAACGTACGACAACTTTAAAATGTTCTCTGTTGCGTACAAATGTCCTCTGGTTGCTACGCTCAATAGTTTACGAATAATTTAAATTGAAAGTTATGTTCCTGGAGGGTGACATTCGGCGCTTGAGGGTTAAGGAAGCCGCCAATTTATTTCTCAGTGAAATACAACAAAAAATACCGCAAAACACATACACAGATGCACAGCAAAAAATCGACCCAGAGAATAATAGATTTATTCTACCTTTGACCGTCATTTGACTTTGACTATCAGCAAAGACATTTGATATTAATGTCTTATTATAATGTCTTTGCTGATATGACTATCAGCAAAGACATTATAAAAAATATTATTCGCTCTTAGTTTCTTTTAAAATTTTCTCCTTCAATCACTCACTGATGACAGTTATGAAGCTCCTAATGAAGGCCTTGACAAGCCTCGCCCCGCTAGCGATGCGCTCGAAGAATCCAGGCTCCGGCACTTGTTCATCGGTGGACAAGCTGAAGTCCAGGGCGAAGTCATCATCGTTGGTGCTACTGCTACTGCTGCTGCTGCTGCTACTGCTGCTGCTGCTGCTACTGCTGCTAGTGCTGCTGCCTCTGTTGGTGTTGCTGTTGCCCTTACCGAAGAAGAGAGGTGAAGCATAGAGGGGCGTGACTAGGCACAGAAGTAGGAGCAAAGTGGTGGTGGTACGTGTGGGAGACGCCATGTTGGACTTATTCTGAAAATAAAAGATGGATTTAGAGATGTGGAAGAGAAATTTTGATTGGTATAAAATCAGCTGTGTGTCTTTTGTTTTCAACGGAAATGAGGAGCTGATTCAAGTTTAGTCTTTGTTCTTGCTCGGGTAAGAGAAGTTTCATGAGAAATGTCTTATTCATCATTTATGATTTGAATCCAATAAATTATACAGACTCCTACTCTGCATTGCCACTCCTGCGAAATGGACAAAATCAATTGTGGACCTTTTATGGCTTGTTTTACTTTTTATTAAATTTCAAGAGAAGAAATCTGATTTACGTTTCTGGCACCACGGTCATAGTTCTTTACAAAACATCAGAAAAGTCGTGAGGTAGTTATTAAACGACTGACCATAATTTTATTGACAAAGTTACATCGTTCCCTCTTAGTAAGACTTGCCCTGAAAGGAATTGTATTCGTTACGAGATGAAAAAAGTGACAAGTTTGAGCTTCCCGGTTATAAATTTTCGTTGCGTCTGTAATGCAGACTTGACCCGGTCCTTTTTTGCACTGTGGGCCTTGAAGCTGTACAGTGCATATGCTTTGGGTGTTATATTAAAAGTACTGGCATCATCAGTGTTTTCCGAGGAACAATTTGTATTTTCTCGGAAATAAATAATATAGCCTTCAGTGTGGATGAAACTCTTGGAGGCTGAAGTGTTTTTATGCAGCCCTGTGGCAAATCATAAATACTTTTATTAACACGTTTCATCCTTAGTTACTTTTGAACACGAGGACTCCAAATGCATAATTTTTTAACGCATTTTGCACTGCCGCGTAAAATAAGAATCAACAGTGAAGAGAGAGGTCGCTATCATCGAAAGTTACCGAGGTAAAAATCAGTCATTTGTGTCAATAGCGAGAGGTCACAAACAGTCAGCCCACAGAGGCTGGTGACAATGATGGTTTTAGTAACTCGGGGGGATGGTGGAAGATGAAGGGATAAGCAGATAAGAACACTAATATATTCGCTTCTTAATCGAGGACTCAGCTATATAAAACTATAAATAGGTGACATCATCCTTTGGTGCGAAACCAACATATGATGTTCGTTCTTTAGCGTTTTCGTTCACTTAAGGGGCGTTGCATACTTTATTGGTCATTATTTCCGCATGCAGCTTATTCCTCTAGTCTTGGTCAAGGCTGCTCACTTGGTCATATATTCATGACGTATATATAGTGTTGCCACGCATACATATATAAGTAAGAGCCTGAGGCAAATCTGTTATTTTTGAGTTCTGAAAAGGTGTCTTGATCCATGGTTTACTTGTGAATTTTTTCGGCGAATTAGGGCAGTCCGATCGGTAGCTTGAAGTTAGAAATTTAAAATTGCTTTATCAGGAAATTGACGATTCAATCGATGGTCGTTGTGTTGTGATTACTTACCGGATTATATATTGCGATGTAAGTTGATGAATAAATCAATTAGAGGTTGGTTTATGAGGAAATAACTGTAAATACCATTGAGATACATTTGGTAAGATCTTTTTACCTTTAAGAATAATTCCTGCTATTGAATAACAAATTCTTCGAAATGGGAATCCATAGAAGCTGTCAGTGACTTGCCGACACAAAATCCCGGGCCTTAGACTTCAAAGTTTTCCTTCATAGCGATAAACCAAATTTTTTAATTTTGGAACTTTTTCCTTCTTGCGTGTCGTTTTGTCGTTAACTTCATAAGGCAAAGAACTGCCTAACGTTACCGACATGACTGAGGGAGAAAACATTCGTGGGAGATATGAATAAAGGTAACATCGTATCTTGTCTGGTCAGCATTGCATCGTAAAATCTTGCAATTTTTTTACGCAGGGCCTGGGTGAACATTTGGCAGCTGATACGCAAAAAAACGGCTTCGAAAAATGTGTGACTGTAGTAGGAATAATCTTTTAGTAAATTTGACATTTAGTCAATGAAATTATTTTTAAATAATCAAGCCACAGATTTGCAACATTCTAAAATACTTGAATAATTGTAGAATTTGTGATCTAGTTTCGACACAATCTGCTGGATAATGTAGATAAGCAAATTTAATTCCAACACTACATAATTATTAAGCACAACTGCTTCAAACAAATCCGCCACTTCAATTAATCGTGACTAATTTTCTACTATTCAAGGGTAAAAAATATTATTTCAAGTCATCACTCTCCTATGAAAAAATTACGTGATGGAAGTCAATAAATTTTCAATTGTTTAACTTGTATTGAATTTCTTCTTTCCCGCAGCTTCTTTTAATTTTAAAATTTCTCATTTTTATTCAAAAATTTACTGGGTTACAGGGCATGATAATTTATCGGCAATTGCTGGTGAAAACGTGGTCGTCCTTCAAGGCATGTTTTTTATTTGCTCAGTAAATTAGCCAGGAAATCATTGAGCTGTGTACTTCTTTATGCAGCAATCGTTTTGTGGAGCGTAATTGGCATTAATGTATTAGATCTTCAGAAAGCGACTGAATATTTCGCTCAGTCGGTCAATCAACGAGATCCTTCAGCGTATCCTTCAGCGTATCAATCAACGAGATCCTTCACATCAAAATTCTTATGAATATTTTTTCATTAGAAGCAAGCCAAATTTGATGAGAATTAATATATCTCAAAAGTTAGTTGGTGATATTGGTTGATATGAAGACAGTATTTGCGGCTAAATTCCTGTTCAAATCTCTTCCTAATCCAAGATTTATTTTCATCACATTTTATTCTTACATTATATGTATCTCCTCAAATCAATGCATAATAAAATGAAAAATTCTAATAATAATTATCAAAATTTATTAACGATTTCTGATTGTTAATTTTTAATCCGCAACAATTATACCATATATTTTGAAATTTTATATTTTTAACTAGTGTCAGTACCTTTTTGTTTTAATTTAATTAACCATAATAAGTAAAAAAAATAATTCAGCGTTATTAATCGATGTTCTAAAGAATTTTTTGCCTGTGTTTGTTAGTAGTCACTTGGCACGGCCAAATCTTTTTTTCGATTTAAGGTTTTTTATGGAATTGTTTGTTGACTAATCTGAGTTGATACTAATAAGAAATTATTTTAACACTTTTTTCGCTTAACAAAATGTTAACGAAAATTCTATTCAGCAAAATTTTTGGCGCATTATAAAACAGTATATATTCCCTACACACGTGCATCTCTACACACGCGCTGTCTCTAGCAGAAGAACCGGTTCTGGTTCGCCTTACGAGCAACCGTTTTTATGAGCACGAATCAAGTTCAAGTTCAAGGTCCACTGCAGCATCGGCCATCTCACAAATTCATGTAACAGGCAGTTTTCAAAATTGGAATTGACTAATGTCTACATCTATGTAGACATTAGTCAATTAATATGGTAAATTTCACTAAAATTTTAACGAACATCAGTTCGATTGACTTATTTTTAACTGCAGTTAGCCCTTATTCACAATAACTTACATATAATTCTGACTTATTAGACAATAATCACTATACCACAGCATAGATACCTAGAAATTTGTGTGATGAAGAGCAGCGTGCATCGCTTGCGATGTTGAATGTGTTCTGATTGTGACCCCTAAAATCATGCACGAGACTTAGTGAGTCTCAATACTGAAATGCGACCTTGGCCGCCTTGACTGGAAGCTTCCATTGTAAAAAGCGGGAGCAGAGAAAGCGACACTGCCCAACATTTTTATCTTCTGGTAAAGTCAAGAGGCTGCGAGCCCATCGCGCTAGTGAAGGCAGGAGGGTGGGAGCCCATCGCGCTAGTGAAGGCAGGAGGCTGGGAGCCCATCGCGCTAGTAAAGGTAGGAGGCTGGGAACCTATCGAACTGGTGAAGAAAACATGCTGTGAGCCCATTGCGCTGGTGGAGGCAGAAGGCTGGGAGCCCATCGTGCTGGTGAAGGCAGAAGGCTGGGAGCCCATCGTGCTGGTGAAGGCAGGAGGCTGAGAACCCATCGCACTGGTGAAGAAAACATGCTGTGAGCCCATTGCGCTGGTGGAGGCAGGAGGCTGGGAGCCCATAGAACTGACGCGAATACAGGAGGCTGGGAGCACATTGTGCCAGTGAAGACAGGAGGCTGTGAGTAAACTTGACCCGTGAAAACACGAGGTTATGGGATAATTTTGAAATGGAAGAGACAGGTGGCTATGAGCCGATTGTGCTCGTGGAGACAGAAGGCTGCGAGCAAATTCTCTTGGTGAAGACAGCAGGCTGGGAACGAATTGTGCTCGTGAATTCAGGTGTTGAAGCAAACTTGGAGTAAACTTGGCTTGAGGAAACGAAGGCTTGGAGGAAAATTGGCTCGTCAAAAATTGAGGCTGGGATTTTATCGAAGTGGGAGAGACAGACAGGTCCATGCTGGTGAACTGGAAGAGTTGTGAGTGCCGGATATATATATGAAGAAATAGTTATTTATATCGACATGTATGAGTTGACAACTACTGTACACGGTCATGAAGAAAGAGTAGTTGCATTGTAGGTGATCAGTTCGCCTGCCTGATCTCTTCAGGGTTCTCACTGGTCGCTTAGTAAACTTAATAGTTGTTCGGTCATTTCCAGCTTGTTTGAGAACATAGCATTTATCCCAGTTTGCCAATGCTGGATATATGACGCGACAATTGATTTCTACTTTGAATTTGTATATAAAATATATGAATATAGCTGAGAAGGCGGAAGTTAAAGCCAGGATGTTTTGGAAAATATTTAGGATTGAATATTAGGAAACTGAATCAAGGAAATGAATCAATATTATGTATCAAGGAAATGTATTGAATACAGCATCAAGGCAACCTGAGCCCATTTCAAAAGCATATAATGACGATCAATGACGAACAATAAATATCATCTCAGATGAGAGAATTCTTATAACGGTACAACAATCTACCCGACGTTCCAGTCAGCCTTCGGCCGTCCTTGTCATACCCCACACAAGGCGGCCCTGCACCAAGTAGAGGAACGGCCTCCAGGGCGGCACACCAGGGCCCCCGCTTCTACGCAAGCTCCGCAAAGTGCGAGTGAAATATACGAATCGGGGTATAGTTAATGTTTTGTAGCGAAAAATGTGCGAGCAAAATCAAGTAGTGCGCAATAGTCGGAAAAATTTTTGCCTGTGTGATAATACATAATAGATTGAGCTTGAGTAACACACATTATTGGTGGTTCATTTGTGCTAAGCATATATTCACTTCCACTGGGAATGATAGCTTAAATTTATGTTCGATTATTTGAAAATATATAAAAAAATCACACTGATTTCAAAATTTGTATGAAATTCATATAAATCAGAGTAATCGATATTATAAACACGAGTTATCAACCCGAGTTTGGAAACTTTCCGATTTAAATTTAGCAGCAGCTAGTGACCGAAAAGGAAAATCAATGATTTTTTTACCCATGAATGAATGTTTCGATCCCACTTTGAGAGATGACAATTTCTATTTCACGCATCTGCTCATGTTTTGTAGTGAATTTCATACCAAATGGGGCGATTTTTCCGATTAAAGTTTTAGATGGTCCGCAATTTATTCTACACTGTTTGCCTTGTGAACAGCTTTGCAATCATTATACAGTGTATTGGAGTCAGTCTCTTTTTACTAATTGAACTGAAGTAATGTAAGGTATTGACAATTTTTCTCTAACACGGCGTGGTTTTCTTTGGCGACTCTTGTATTAGATTGGGATAGACCCCTGCTAGAAAAGTTGCTCGTGTTGCATTCGACTTAGAATCTTACCAATACTCAGGCACTGTGATGACGATTCCAATTAAGGTCGCAGCGGCTCGCTAGCACCGCATGTCCTGATCACTTAACGTCAAGGGCGATACTGACGCGGCGAGAGTGCAACAGTGCCCTCGGTTTTCCCTTCTTCTTTTTTGTTATCGAGAGAAAAAAATGTTTAGCTAGTGTCGGCTATAAATATTATGTAAGGCGTAGAGAGATAAGCATAAATCGTGAACCTAAATGTTAGATGATAAAGGTACTTGGTCGTAGTAATATTTATTAAAAGCTTGATTGTAAATGCATATGGGCAATTTTAATTCTTTTCCTATTATACGTGATTTGAATTCGTCTTTCAAGAATGACTAGTAAGAAGAAAATATAGCGAAAATTAAATTAAACATTTCGGCCGTTTATAAACTATCGCTTTTTTATTGTCAATTTACAACAGGGTTAAGTATCTGATACGAATTTAAGCGTTTTTCAAATAAATTTCGCTTCAATTGACATCCATTATCACTGTAAGCAGGTAAGCTTTTTAATTATAGAAGGTTTTACATTTCTTCGATGTAAGATTGCTCTGGAATTGAATAAGAGCTATGAATGGTAAAATTTAAGCCCTCCTGGCGACGACTTCGTATTACAATAGCGGGAAAACGTCCAAATAATGGAGTCAACGGGCATCAACCCATCAAATAAGTTCAAAATTATGTGCTGCAGTAAAATTTTTTGAATGAAAACTACTTGTAGTTAAAAAATCACTTTTGCTAGAATATCTTTTGTAAAAATTACATCTCCATTTGTTTCATATGCACCGAGAGAAATGAATCAGACTTTGTCCGAACAGCAATGCATCCTTGCCCTTATGTGGGTCATCTTGACTCAGTTTGCCTGCAAAAAAACATATCAGTTCTATACGCAGCAAATGTCATTACTTGGACAATGTGACCCATACAATTTTCTTAGTGAGGACCAGTTTATCGATATTTCATTGATAGATCAGAGGTCTTGCTTCTAGTTCGCCAAGGGCAGGGAAAGAAGTGATGGTGAGTCACGCGTGAATTAACGATTTCTCAAACTATTTTTTTGTTCAGTGTCACGAAAGACGAGAGGCTCTGTAAAGGTATTCCTGAGCAGGACATTTCTGGCTAATTTTTATGATAGGAATCAAATTCATACCAACTCCTAGACATATTAGTGACACTTTCTACCAAATAAGAAACTGGCATTTTAATCGGAGACAATTTTTGCCTATGATATATGTATTTTTTTTTAATTTTGAATGTCAAAAAGCAAGCAAGATGATTAGTGTAGACGAGAGAACGTCCACACGAGTGATCTCCGGCTGATGAACAGGTTCCAGTTTTGCCGGAGGACGAACCGTTTTTAGGAGCAACAAGAAGTTCAAGTTCAAGGTTATATGGATCAACGGCTGCATTTAAGTCTAGAATCCCATCTTCGAAGATGGTTAGAAATCGAATATTGTCCCTTCAATTTAGTAGCAGAGCTTTATGAATGAGATGGGAATTAATTAAAGAACCGGATCGCGAATTCAGTTTCAGGATGAAAGTAATTACGATACATGGCATTCCTCGGCTCTGAGCTTTACGCATCATTACAAACGTAAATCAAATCAAGGGTTGAAGATTGCTAAAACTGAAAATCTAAAATCTTGTGTTAAGAATCATAGAATTTTCCAGATTATTTTGCCCTTCCTTTATCGACATAAATTACTTTTATCAAAGAGAAAAACACTTGAATTTGAGCGATCAGAACAGACCTTTTGTCACAAGTGATAGTGGGTCTATTTTAATTTTGACCCCTAAAATATTGGTGAGTTTGCAAGACTTGGACGCGACTTGGCGAGTCTGCATACTGAAAATGTGACCTTGGCCGGCTTGACTGGAAGTTCAAACAATAAAAAGCGGTAGCTGAAAAAGCCAAACTAGCCAGCATTATTAGCACTTAGTAAAGTCACAATGCTGGAGCGAGTACAGTTGGTGAATTCAAAAGGCCAGGGCTCTTGGAGTTGGTGAATACAGAAGGCTGAAGCTCTTATTGTTAGCAAGGAAAGGAACCTGCGAACATTTTGAGTTGGTGAATGCAAAAGGTTCGAGCTTTTTTTAATTGGTGAACACAAGGATTATAGCCATCTGAATAAGAAGGCTGCACGAATTTTTAAATGATAATAACAATAATAATAATAATGATGGAAATTCTAGACATGGGTCAGAAGGATTTAACAGAGAACAAATCATACAGTGATGCGGAAAAAGGAGAAAGCTGCGACTGCTGATGATAAATGTTCGGAAAAATCATTCGTAATAGCACGTGTGGGAGTGGACACACTTCGGGATAATGTCACGTTACTCTCTTGATAAACAAATGACCTTTAGAAGATAGAAAAAGTTATTATATTCCAGTCTCTTTTCACAGTAAAATCAAACGTTTAATGAGCAACAAATTATTTTCATCGCAATTTCGCTGTGTAAACCAACCCACCAATTTGCTAATACAATGGTTGTGTTGTGGTTATGTTGTGTGGTTGTCATCTCAATTCAATTCAGATGCGAGTCAATCAAAAATTAAAGACATAAATTTAAATAAAAATATTTGCGGGAAATTTCATTATAAACTATTTTTGTCTGCAAATCCATGGAACTACGTTCATTTTTTAATTTGCCTAATTCGAATTACGATAGGCAAAAATTCCCACATCGTTGTTAGTGGCCGAAAATGAGACTCTCTATAAAACGAACAGGAAACCAATCCTGTTCTGCATCAATGTAATTGTATGCGAATAACAAAAGTAATTACCATAGTAATAATAATGATTTTAATAATAGTAATAATAACTATCATAGAAATAATAATTATAATTAACAAATTCTAATAATAATTAATATTCAAAGTAATAAAATTAAATTATAATAAAATTTGTGACGACACTTATAACAATCGCTAACGAATAATGATTAATCTTAACCTGCGAGGAATTCGCACAACGGTACAATCTACCCGACGTTCCAGTCAGCCTTCGGTCGTCCTTGTCATACCCACACAAGGCCTCGGACCAAGTAGAGGAACGGCCTCCAGGGCTACGGTGTTTTGCCCCGCGTCTACTCAAGCTCCGCAAAGTGCGAAGTGGGAAATACGAATCGGATGCAGATGCAGTGGATTTTAGGTAACAAACACTGCGAAATTAAAGTGCATATAGCTTATAAGTATTCAACGTAAATTAAGCGTTCGGGTGTCCGATATAATTGATGAGTTTTGAAAATGTTTTATGACTCATATGGTTACAAAATTGGCAATGGCGAAAATCTCAGTTCCAAAGTTCGCAGTGAATTCTAACATTTTGTGAAGTAAACTTATTTATTACATAATGTATGAAATAAAAATTCAAACAGCCATCTTTCAACAACGTCCTTCATCGTCTCATGACGAAAATAAAATTTCAGATCCGTGTTGTTTTCCGGCACCATATTAGCTTCTTTTTACATTGACAGTTACAGTCTTGAAACGATAACACTTTCTTGATGATCAATAGAGAATCTCAAAAAAATTTAGGACCCAGCATTGTTGCACCGAAATCAATAAAGCAATGAAAATTTCTGTTTATACTCCTATAATAATAAATTATAGTGCAGTGACACCGGCAGAACCGAAGCTTGAAAAATAATTGAAAAAAATCAAAATTTGTCACCATAATTTGTAATTGCTCGAGAGTTATAATTGTAAAAATTGAACCACAATCCACCCAACACTCTCCCAGGTAAATGTAAACTTCCAAAGTCTTTGCGGATTTTTCCCCCTCCCCATTCGACCTCAACGTCAACGCAACTCATTCAGCCACAACCAACCTAATTATGCGCATTGGCCCTTTTTCATCTTCTCCCATCTCTTACATTTTTTCTTTCTGTCACTCAGTGCCACCTCAAGTTTTTGCTATTTTTTCGCACCCAAAACAGGCATCAATTTTTATCTCGGGTAGCTTTCCAGTGCATGACAGCTTTGCAATTAAATATTGGTTTTAGTCTCGTTCTACAAAATATGATTTAACGGAATAAGTATCATGCTTTGACATTAATGCACTGTCACAGTTAAATGACCTTTTTTTGGCGAAGCTTGTCTTAATTAAATTTCCAAGTTATAGAAGCTGCTCGTCCCATATTCGATATTGAATCTTACCAATACTCAGGCACTGTGATGACGATTCCAATTAAGGTCGCAGCGGCTCGCTAGCACCGCATGTCCTGATCACTTAACGTCAAGGGCGATACTGACGCGGCGAGAGTGCGACGCGCTGCCCTCTTATTTCCCCTTATTCTGAGATGACGATAAAACAAAAAAAAATAATACAGATATCAGTAATAATATTTGCTTATGTTAGTCCTATTTGTGGGTATAAATTCGATGATAAATCATCGATAATTTTTTAATTTCAATAGTTTTTATTTGATCTATGCAGGCTGAAATTGAGGTCGAAAAGTTGAATGAAACAAGTCTGGAGAATCGTATTTTATTTTATGTGAATGTGTTTGAAGTGACCAGGTTAAATGCTTTTCATATCACAGATGAAGAAATGGTGAACTTGCAATTTCATTACTTTTCACTACTTTCAAATTATTACTGAACTTGATTACTTGATTACTTATTTTTTGATTTGAGTAGACTAATGATATAAGTACTAACAAGTGAAAGTTCTCGATGAATATGTAGAAGATCATGTAATTCAGTGTTTAAGAGGCTAGCTATTTTTCAGTAAGTCAAGGCGAACGTTGAATGACGGACCAAAAATGGAAATTAGAGCAGAGGCAGACTCCATCAAGCAGAAAAAATTGTTCTATGGACATCAACTTTCGCAACAATTTTCAGATCGATTGAACAGAGAAATTTGAAAAAATAATCATCAGGAAGTAAATTTGTGAAAATAAACTACATTTCGAGGACAAGAACACAGCAAGACCATTTGCAGCGAGAACAGGGCAATTATGCGCCAAGATATCTGTTTATGAACCAAATCGAAACCACCGATGGATTTCGGAAGATATTAAAGATGAGGTGTAAATTCTAAGTTGAATATTA